TAAATGATATTCTTTTCCTATAGGCGAAGTATATTTTTTAAACAATAATAACAGGGGTTAAAGTATCCCCCCCAACGTGCGTTCACCTTGTCGTGGTGGGGGGGCTCAGTAGTGCCCGGCAATCCAACCGGGCGCGAAGCTAAGAAAAGCACAGGGAGGTTGCCCACTTCGCTGGGCGGTGGGAGGTGGCCCTCTTCGGGGGGCGGTGTACCATGCGGGTTGCTCCTGGTACTTCTCTGATAGCAGAGTGGACTGTGGAGCAACCCCATGGTTGTGGTGGTCTGCTTCGGCAGACCTGCCGTCGGGGCGTCGTAGTTGAATGCGTAAGCGATCCTGCGACGCCCCATTAAGACGGGGGATGGTTTTGTTGGGTTTTAGTGGGTAGTACTGGCTGTATTACGCCGGTGAGTCCCACACGTCGTGCGTAAATGCATTTCCCAACGTTAAAAAAAAAAAAAGGGGTTAAAGTATGAAATTGCCGTTTTATTGTAATAGGTATTTCGAATTGACATAGAACCTTCATGGTTTGAGGTACGATAAGTTCTCAGTTTCTCATCGTTTGTACCGTGGAGAATTTGGTTTGTATCATCATTACACATACGCTAATTGAATGTTACAATAAGTTCTCGGCTTCTCACCGTTTGTACCCGTTTGTACCGTAGAGAATTTGGTTTGTATCATCACTATACACGTGCTTATTGAATTTTACGATAAGTTCTCGGCTTGTCATAGTTTGTACCCGTTTATACCGCAGAGATTTTTTTTTAGAGAAAAAAAAATTATGTACATAAATTTATAAACATTAAGTATTTTTTTTTATTTATGTATATTTTTCAGTTCTAATAATCGTATAATCCTTTACAAACGATATACTTCCAGTTGGCATCATCAAACATGTCGTATTTTTAGGTTGGCTGTGAACGATACATATTTTCGCACCGCTATATTTCTCACCCCTTTGAGGTACAAACGATTTTAAGAGCGGTACAATCCAGTACAAACGATATGCTTCCAATTGGCATCAACAAAAATGTCATATTTTTAGGTTGGCTGTGAACCATACATATATTCGAACCACCATATTGCTCACCCCTTTGAGGTACAAACGATTTAAAAAGCGATACAATCCGGTACAAACGTAGTACAATCGAATAGAATTGATAAAAACTAATTATTGTTTAGTCAGTTTCTAACTTCACATAGGTGATAGCTGGTTATCCGGATCAACATATAGAATACTTTTTTATTGCAGGAAAATATCCCATATCTGATAAATCCATACTAAACGTTAAAAGGTAAGTAGGGGTGAACCAGAGCGGAACGAGAGTAGGTCCCTAGTATCTAATTATATATTAGGTACGAGCGAGTAGCGACTCACCCTCGCTTCGCTCGTGTTCGTCCCTAGCTTGCTTCCCAAAACCAACTATCATCCCCATTTTCAATCCCTTATGGGAGATTTCCGGCATATAAAGTATCCTATGTCCTTCCCAGAGTCTCAAACTATCTTCTTACCAAATTTCATCGAAATCGGTTCAGTAGATCCCCTACAGCGTTACAAACTCACAATCTCACAAACTACCTCTTTCTAATATTAGTATAGATTACTACAATATTAAGATATCTTTAATAAAATACATAATTATTTTTATTACTATATAACTTACTGTGGAACTAAAATAATTAAATCACAGAAGATTGTTATACTGTGCCATTTTAAATACACGAGGAAAATATTCTAAAATTAATTTACAATTTTACAGGTACTTTATGATTGCAGACTGCAAGGTTTCCGGTTCCTATATTATTTTTTTTCAAAGTACCTACCTAAGAATTTATTGATTATTCGCTGCGTTCGCCGATTTCCATTCTACTTAACATTGCTAAAGTAAGAGTTACTTGCTGTTGAGCTAGCGATTGCCGGTTGTGTTTAAGTACAAGAAAATATACTTGCATTTGTTATTTTAATAATATTTGGCAATTGGCATTATGTCGGCCGACGCTTATCTAGTAGAAGTAATACATTCATCATTGTTATTCTTTTATTATATTTTAAGTTTTTAAATTTGTATTTAAATTCGTAAACCTAATTCAAATACATGTCGCAAGCCTGCTTCTCCAGCTCAGTGGTTAACATGTACCCAGATCGTGGGTTCGAGTTCCGGATCGGGACAAATATAGTCATTTGGTCTCTTTCACTGGTCGTGTTGAATTGTCTTCCCGCCAGAGTATGAGAGTGACAGGAATAGAGAGTGCTCTTGTGTCTGCGCGTACACTTGTGAAGTACAATATCTGCGACCACTATCCATCCAGGTATTCTAGTAAGACAGTAGCGTTCTAGTAAGACAGACAGCGTTTGAGAGAAATTTTTGTTTATAATAAAAACATAATATTATAGTTTCGTTTTTAACTATAAGATTACTGTACGCCTATTTAATGTTTTCGATGTCAAATGTGTAAAATTATAATAAATGGTAATAAATGTCCAAATTCTACACGTTTTTTTTATTTTATACCTGAAATGCTCTTCTTTCTAAAAATCTTATATTTTTTTTAAATATTGCATGATTCAATTTGCAATTTTTTAAACAAACCGGCAAACTGTGCCGTCAATAGTAGTTAAATGTGATGAACAACTCATAAAAACACTGCCAACTAAAATTCGGACCGCTGCCATAAATGCGGCTGGACAGAGTCAGATGATGCACATGTAGAGTATGACCTGGAATAGCACATGATTACTCTTAGGTATCTACGCACCAGAACAAGGTAAATAATAAATATGTTGGGACATTAACACACAGCACCGTCTAGTTCCACGGTAAGCTACGGGGCTTGTGTAATGGATACCAGGTAGTTCATACACTACACAAAAGTAACTTTAAATACATACATGTTATACATATAAACACCCATGACTGGAGTACAAACATTCGTGTTCATCAAATGAATGCTACCAGTGGGACTCGAACCCGCGACCGCCGGCACAGCAATTAGGGTCGCTAAAAACTGAGCCAAGCGTGTGAATACACACTGTAAACCCAAGACCTGATAGTGGTTTTTGAATAAACAGATTCCATAAGTTTGATTTAATATTAATAACCAATGAAGTTTCACTTCTTACACGTTTCCATAGATTTAAGCAATCACTTGCAGACTTAAACATGGATTTACATTAATTTAACAATAAAAATAAATTTAATTTATGAAAAAAAATATTTTTTCTACCTAACCTCCTTTAAATTTAAAACTGATGAACAAACAGATTTCAATAAAATTTAGCTAGAACAAATATTATACATCATAGAGACAGATCGTCCACCAGTTTCAAGGCCACGCTTTCTATGCGAGCAACACTGCGGGCAACAACTAGTTTCAAATTAAAACAAAATAAAGTTTATCAATTTTTATTTTGAAAGACATGAAAAATAAAATAGTTTTGTACAATTATTTCATACCATGTAATTCAGATTTGAAAATTAAAAAGAAAAATCAAACCAAAGCAAATTCAAAATCCAAATGCTTGTCCAATGAAAATTTGGATGATTCGTTATCAAAACTAAAATAATAAGAAATGGAGCATTTAGAAGAACATTTGACATTTAATGTTAGAAAAAGTTAAGTCAATTCAACAAATATCAACAATATCTTTGAACTAAACTATCTTTTTAAGGAAAACAAAATAATAGTTTTATTTAAAACTAGCGACTCACTCTCTTCGCTCGGGTTTCGTCTTTAGGTTGATCCCCCATACTAACTTTTATCCCCATTTTCACCCCCTTAAGGATAATTCCGGTATAAAACTATCCTATGTCCTTCCCAGAGTCAAACTATCTTCTGACCAAAGGGTTTAGCCGGATAAGTATAGCGAAGCCTCCAATGGCAGCCTATATCGAAACTTATGTGTCTATAAGGACTTGATGTAGAAATTTATAAAGTATTAATATACGCATAATATGTGTCTTTGCTACGTTCTTATTCTTTTTCATATATTTATCATACGTTTCTAGATTTGAAGGTTTCTGAGATATGCTCTTTTGAATGAAACTCATAGTTATGCTCATTTTTTTCATATCTCAAGGTCAAAGCGGAGTACAACAGTGAAATTCATATGAATGGTTTTCTACATCAAGCCCTTATTGATACACAAGTTTCGATATAGGCTGCCATAGAGCCTAGGGGGCTAAACCCTTTCATCCAAATCTGTCCAGTAGTTTCGGAGCCTATTCAGTACAAACAAACAAACAAATAAACAAACAAACACTCAAACAAACAAACAAAAAATCAAATCTTTCCTCTGTATAATTTAATAGACGTCAAATAATCGTCAAATAAATCTAACAAAGTATCAACTTTGAATTAATCATTTGTAATATAATATATTTTTTGATATATAATATTTCTTACAAAGCATATAGCTTTTTAAACAAATTTCAAGTAATTATAATACCATTTAAAGCTTCAACCACTACCTTTTACATACTCTATCATAATATTTTATGATGAGTAACTTAGTGGATAGTAATTTTATTGCCATGAACGAGAATACACATTAAAAAGTTTTTTTTAATGTCGAGATCAAATATTAAACAATTATTATTAATTATATTTAACTGTATCAAACTTTACATTTATAATTCAAACAACAACTTTATATTTTTATTTCAAACAATGATTTTTAACTCTAAAAGTCGAGCAACGCTAGCGGCACTATGGGATGGGTGGGTTTTAATCATATATAATATAAAAAATTTAAATCGGTCCAATTCAATATGATTGGACCTGACAATATCTGACATACTCCCATTGAGTACTTAGAGATTGAGTCTCACTTGCTTCACATGCCAATCATTTAGCCTGACAGCTTCTGACAAAGTCATCAATCACCATGTCCGACAGGCACAAAGTCATCATAAACACTTATCACTAACAGTCATTAACACTTGTCATTTATATTCTTCATAATAGAATATTCCATCAGCAAAACCGGTGAACAGATGTCAGGGAAGTTGAAGGTCCTCGTGTGAAAGCTCAGAACTGCACTGACTTGAACATTCGGAGAGTGATTCTTCTTTCTGTTGGCAATTTTGTGAAATTAGCAACAAATCATTTATAATAGAACGTTTTAACGGTTAGTATGAAATAGAAATCTTTGAATTTCTCTGTTATTCTTTACTATAATATGCATGTATTATACATATAAACCTTCTTCTTGAATCACTCTATCTATTAACAAAAAAAATCGCATCAAAATCCGTTGCGTAGTTTTAAAGATGTAAAGTATATATAGGGACAGACAGACAGACAACGGGAAGCGACTTTGTTTTTATACTATGTAGTGGTATATTGTGAGGCGAAATAAAATAAATTTGGCACTTGTATATAATAATATTATAAAAAAATAAATGTAAAAAATCCGGACAAGTGCGAGTCCTACTCGCCCACCGAGTGTTCCGAACAAATTTGTAGGAAACCTGTTTAACTTTAATTTTCAACTTTTATAATTCCCTTAATTTATAAATTTCGTGAAAATCTAAATTTGCCCATATTTTTTTATCGTGTAGACTCAGGACCTTGTTTTTTATACACCTAATAGGAACTATAGACCTCAGTATATGGTATAAATTTCAATTTGCTAGGTCCACCCGTTCCTTAGAAAATCGGTGGTGATACACGGACAGACAAGCGGACGGAAGGACGAGAAGAGAGGTACGGAACCCTAAAAACAAGACTTACCTTCAAACTAAAGGTGGTATACACAGGCGGACCGGTGTGATATCTGCACGAATTCGAAGGCAAGGGCAGCTTTGCGATCGCCTCCCTACACTCTACGCTGCCTCGAAGGTCGCCGCACGCCTTGAACAACACCTGTAAATAAAACAAATCTATACTAATATTATAAAGAGGTAAAGTTTGTGAGTTTGTGACGTTGTAGGGGGTAATCTCTGGATCTACAGAACCAATTTAGATGAAATTTGGTAAGAAAATAGTTTGAGATCCTGGAAAGGACATAGGATACTTTTTATCCCGGTAATCATCCCTTAAAGGGATGAAAATGGGGATGAAAGTTTCTATGGGGAAGCAAGCGAGCGAAGCGAGGGTGAGTCGCACTAGCGATAGATACTAATCTTGAATATAGACATCACAATTAAAGGAAAATTTAACGACCAACTTCACACTGTAGCCAATAACGAAAAAAAAAACAATATACTCGTATATCTCAAGTGTGTCCGTTTCCATCAACACCAGTAGCGATCAAGAAAAATAAAGTGTGAGTCAAAACGCAAACCAAGGGTTCTCTAGCGTGAAACATTAAAAAAGTTTATAATCTCAAAAAAAAAACTGCTGCAAAGAGCTACATGCTCCAAATGTACCATTTTTCGAATATTTTCCTTTACCCGATTTTTGCCAAATTTGATGATTCTAGGTCAACGGGAAGTATCCTAAGGCTATGGATTCCCTTTACGAACGTCAAAACACGCGACATAAATGGCCGTATTTTTTGATTGTATCATATACAGCGCTCGATTTACACTAGAGGCGATCGTGGTTAGATTTTTTTATCGCGTTATCGCAAATGCTCTATTTACGTATTTTCCAAAAAAATGAATAATTAAAAAAAAAATATTATTCGAAAAATTTAATAATTTTTTTCATTCTTCAAAAAAAATAAAAGTAATAAAAAAAAATAAACTTTATCGAAATTTTATCCATTTTATTCAAAATTTCGACAATAGGGTGGCATTTTATACTATGCCCAGGGGCGGCGCTAATGTTAAATCCGGCAATGATCATATATGACCCTATCGTTGATTTAGAAGTTCAATTTTATGATGAATATTTGATATTAATTTCAATTTGATACCTCTACGGGGTTCTGAGAAAAAGGTCCTTGACAGACAGACAGACGGACGGACAGGCAACAGATCCTATATAGGGTCAGTCATCTTGTGGGAGGTAACCCACAAGAACACAATGAAAGCACGATGATTGCTTGAATTGATGTTTAATTTGTAAAAGAGTAATACATTGTTTGAACAATAATATTTTATACATTAAAAACGGGGCAATTTATTTCTATATCAACAAGATAACTGTTGTATTTATTGGTTAATAAATTATAAGTCTGGTCTCTTAAATCACTTTTATTATAATTCTTAAGATGTGAGCAATACAAAACAATTTTTATTATTTATCTCTGCTTTAGAACCTCCATCTTTTGTCATAGACACTAACAGTGTTATCACAATAACACTTTGAATATGAACGTAAAATGACCATAGATTAAAGAGACTACAGTAAAGGTTTAAACAAATATTAATCTTTTTAAATATTATATACTAGCGACTCAACCTCGCTTTGCTCGGATTCGTCCCTACTTACGTTGTAAGGTTTAGTATCGATTTCTCAGAGATGAGATATTTTCTCGCTGTAAAAAGTATCCTATATGTTGACCCGGATAACCAGCTATCACCATACCAAATTTCATCAAAATCCCTCCAGTGGTTTTTCCGTGGAGCGGTAACAGACAGACAGATAGACAAAAATTCTAAAAACTATAGATTCGGCCTCTGTATCGATAATAATGTCTATTTCAATAAGATTTTCCAAAAAATATTTAATGTACAGATTCGGCTTAGTTACAATTTTATTTTATGTATGTATGTATATATAATATTTTTTAAAGTTATACTTATTTTAGCACGTTTGGAAAAAATATGAGAGTAAAATTTTCACGATGCGCGCGCACAGCGCACAGCACAGCAGCCATAAAGTGACATGATGAAGTTAGATACATTCCTTTTAACAGAGAGTTGTGACATACGGGATGAAATCTTTAACTTCTTACGTGCGTACATAAGTACAAACGCACGTTTTTTTATATTGTTTTCTATGGTTATTTTATGCATATTTCATTTTAAGTTAGCACTATGTATTTTTATTGAAATTTTTAATTCGTCACAAACCATTTCTCAACAGTTTTGTTAATATGTATAAAAAAATTTGATTAGGTATAATTTGAGTGAGCCAGCGGTATAAAATAAGTTGGCTGTACTGGCAGCCCTGTGCACAGGGCACAGTACAGGGCACATGGCACAGGGAACTCACCTGGTGCACGTCGCAGAGCACGTGGCGTGCGCAATGGCGTGCAGCGGGCAACGCGGGCGCGACGCAACGCACACCGCCCTCCGCGAACGTGCAGCGCCCCTGCGAATAGGGACGGGTGCCGCCATCGTGCATCTGGACGGGGATTCAAATTCAAAATAACAAATATAATGTATACTTTCTTAGATTCACACGAATATTTGACATTTTAAATAAAACTATGTTTTCGGATTATTTCGCGGAATTATTTCGATTTTTTGTTCCTGACGTTTCGAATGCTTTACAGAATTCATGGTCACGTGAGAGACTAAGGTAACGCCTCTGAGACGTCTATAATATAATGATATTAATATTTACGAATACTGCTCCATTCCATTGTGTAGTAACGTGACGATATAGAGCTTATAACCTTCCTCAATAAATGGGCTATATAACGCAAAAATAATTTTTCAAATCGGTTTAGTAGTTCCTGAGATTAGCGCGTTCAAACAAACTCTGCCTTTTTATAATTTATATTTAGCTATTTTCACGGACTTTTATTCATTAATTATCGGACTTATATTATTTTCACCAACTTTAAAAGTTATTTACCATTTTATTTAACGTAATTATTACATAACATATTATATATATTCAGTTGTTAATTTTATTATTTTTAACTTCATGTGTATTCTATCTCAAATAACAACGGTTACCATGGCAACATGGTACACATTCTCTCGCCGGCTTCTATTAACGTAAATCCTATATATTTACGTGTTTTCCTCTTTCTTGTGTCGCATTTACGTTTCATCGAGTTTCAAATCACAACGATCCTAAAGAAGTTAAGTCACTTCAAACAAAACACATACATACCCTGGCCCGTTTATGGTGCAACTTTCTCGCCAACACCGCGTCTACACCATGCTTTCTATGGTATCCGGCGAACGCCTTCAATTTACGCAGCTGTCGTCTCTCCTTCACTGTGAGGGGACCGCTGCGCGCTTGAGAGTCGATCGAACCTATAAATACAAATATAATGAAATTATCTATACATCTATACAGATAAACAAAATTGAAGTGTCCGTTTGTAATGTCAAAATAACAGCTTTTTACTAAATGTATATGAAATTATATATGGTACTTATAATAACATTTTTGTATCTCCGTCTGTTTGTTCTAGCTAATCTTCGAAATGGCTGGGCCGATTTTGACGGTATTTTTTTCCGGGGTCCGGGTAACTTAGGTTACTTTTATTATAGAAAAAGTATCAGGGTTCTACTCAACGGACGCATCCGAGCGAAGCAAAGGTAAATCACAAATATTGAAAAAAATAAGGCAATGGTAGCCCAGTGGTAATGCGTTCGCTTGGGAAACCGAGCGAAGCGGGTTCAAATCTCGGATATCGTAAGTTTGACATTTTCATTGGCGAATAATTTCCAACGTGTTCACCATTTGTTTTGCGGTAAAGGAAAACATCGCGAGGAAACCTGCATGTGTGAAAGAAACTTAGGAAGTTTTCGAAAGTCAGCATGGTGGACTATGGTCTGATCGTCCTCGTATTGAAGGGAGGCAGACTCAGTAGTGGCACGTTAAAAAGGGACATAAAAAAGGTATAAATTCGCCATCTGCAAGACGTACAGGACGGTATCATTCGATGCCGCCTTGACGCTTGCAGATCTCCCTCCCCTCGAATTACGATTAGCAGAGAACGCAAAACGCTACGACGCGAAAAGGGTATGCTCAAAGAAAGGGTAATTGAAAATAAGGCGCCCTTCCTCAAACTACCTCACGCTGCGACGGAGATATCGATCGAGTACTCCCACTTTGAGGACCTGAAACCGGACACCATGCGGAGACACAGCATTCAAGGGCCGTGTATCTATACGGACGGTGGCAAGGTGGAGGATGGTGAGGGCGCAGCACTTTCCTGTTGGATTAAAGAGCGTGAAAAATATATTCACGCTCGTTAATCCAACAGGAAAGTGAAATTCAATATAGTAGAAAGCATAACTTGATTCCTTGACAATGTACATGCTGCGCCAGGCCCTTCAGATTGCCCTCAGGACCAAGGGGGCTCGATCGATGTCTTCAGCGGCTCCAGATCTTTCCTGGACCTACTAAAAAGGGGTGACACAACCCACCCTTTAGCGCCATCCCCATTAAACAAGATTTAAAAGAACTGTCACGGCAGAATAAAACATATAGGTTGTTTTGAGTTCTAACCCAAAACAACTCTAGCGCACGTAGGGATTACAGGGAACGAACGAGAGGACCTACTTTCCAAAGAAGCACCACAAAATCATAAGATTGCTCCCTGTTATAACAAACACCCTATATCTACGGTAAAAGCATTAATCAAAGCACAAACATAGATGTCTGGGACAAGGCCCTACGAACAAGAAATATCTGGCAAAATCACAAAAACCTTGTTCCCAAACATCGAAAAAAGCTACAAAACTACTCGAACAACCACACTGACACCGATTCAAATTCAGGCATCTACAGGTCACGGCGGCTATGCAGAATATCTGGCACGATTCAAATGCATAGCTGACCCCAGCTGCATTTGCGACCCAAATATACAAGAAACTAGTATACATTTTATAACCAACTGCCCTAGATTCTGCATAACACGCCATGACCTTGAAGCACAAATTAAAATGGAAATAAAAACAGAAAACTGCACAAAATAACAGCGAATAAATAACATGGACAAATATTTTTAGCATTCTGTTCTTTTGTCACAAAACTAGCAAATAAAAGACAGCACAAAAACATAAAAAATTTTTTTTTTTCAATATATATATTATATATTGAAAAAAAAAATGTGCTATAAAATTCTGTAATAATAAGTAAAAGTGAGGAAATTCTAACTCCACAATAACTGTGTTATCGTGGTACTGTACAAATACAATCTATACTATTATATAGAGGTAAAGTTTGTGAGTTTGTGACGTTGTAGCCCCCTACAATCTCTGGATCTTCTGAACCGATTTAGATGAAATTTGGCAAGAAGATAGTTTGAGACCCTGGGAAGGACATACGATACTTTTTATCCGGGAAATCATCCATTAAGGGGGTGAACATGAGGACGAAAGTTTGTATGGGAAATCAACCCGAGGGACGAAAGAATGATCCGCTTGTAAGGGACGAACCCGAGCGAAGCGAGGGTGAGTCGCTAGTTAGTAATAAGATCATAATGTTAAAACGAAAAATAGTAAATAATTGTAAATAGTATAAAACTCTAGTGTCAGGTATCATATAGAATATATAAATCAGTAATATGAACCATGTTAAATAACAAAAGCTGTAATAACCTTAAGTTAAAATAGAAATAATGAATGATGTTAGAAATTAAGTAAAGAGTATCGCTCCTCCCACAAAATTATCGGAATTGTATATAAGCAAATTGTAAATAAGGTCTTCGACATCTATATCGGAGGTGTGCCAGTAATAAAAAAAAATAAAAAAAAGCAAATGTGCATATCGCCACCCACCCCTATATTACATCCCAGTATCTCCATTCACAGTGTACTGCGCGCCGAGCGGGACTACATGTCTCGCTCAGCGCGCAGAATAATCACTAAACAGGTGAGCACATCGCCATCCACACCCGCCCCCTAGACTACAAACACAACACCCCACTAATAATACAACTGCCAACCACTAAGCAGATAGCTAAGCATACGAGCACCCCGCCACACACCCCAACCCCCTAGACTACATCCCAGCACCTCCACTCACAGTACAGGTCCCGCTCGGCGCGCAGTTCGCGCACGTAGCGTGCGCGCGCCACCGCCAACAGCACGCGCAGCCGCGCCATCTGCCGCGCGTACGCCGCCTGCAGTGCGCGCAGGGCGCCGCGCGCGGAAGACACCGCCTCTTCCGCTGTGTACACGCCCGCTTTCCTGGTGGGGGGAGGGAGGGGAGTGATGGTTAGTACTTTGCTTATTACATCGTTAGAAGTGTATTTAAAGAAAAAAGAAAAACCAATTCTAAGGTATAAATCCATACTAATATTATAAATGTGAAAGTGTGTTTGTTTGTTTGTTTGTTTGTTTGTTTGTTTGTTTGTTTGTTTGTTTGTTTGTCGTTCTTTCACGTCGAAACGGAGTGACGATTTTTTGGCTACTTATTACCGCGGGAGATCATCTAAATCCCACAGGAAAATACGTTATAAAATAACAAAAATATAAAACAATATAAATATAAAACAACCCAAACAAATATTTATGATCAGAATTACTTGAAACTTGGTATTAATGCTTTTCAATAAAATTAAATAAACACGTGTTTTAGCATTTTTGGAAATTCGTCCTTTAAGGGGGTAAAATAGGGGATGAAAATTTGTATGAAAAAACCTTTTTAGAGATTTTTTTGTAGTTTTAGCGCGAGCGAAGCCGCGGGTAGTGCTAGTAATTCATAAATAAATTCAAGAAGTAAAACTTCTGTAGGTTATCCGTACCCTTTATGAAATTCAATTTATGTTTCAAAATAATTAGGATAGGATAAGGTACTAAAAATAACGCATATTACGCATATTACAATCATATATTTATAGAATATCATTTAAAGAAAGAATATAATATTATATATCATTTGAACAATACTAACGGTTACCATGGCAACAAACGTACCTCGTAACGCATTACATTTTGTCGTAACGCATTCACCAGCTTACGCCCCAAGTCAAGCGTGCGTAAAGAAGTTTTACTTCAAAAATATATATTGCACATATTTTAGGAGATGGTCAAAAATGTATACATATAATAAAATTGTAACTAAGTCGAATTTGTACATTAAATATTTTTTGGAAAATCTTATTGAAATAGACATTATTATCGATAGAGAGTCGGAAACTATAGTTTTTAGAATTTTTGTCTGTCTGTTACCGCATCACGAGAAAACCACAAGACAGATTTTGATGAAATTTGGTATGATGATAGCTGGTTATCCGTGTCAACATATAGGATACTTTTTACCGCGGGAAAATAACTCATTTCTGAGAAAAAATACAAAAACTGCATTGTAAGAGTATACTAATTTGTAAAACCTAAGAATTTGGTTTTTGGGCAATGCTAATTTTGAATATAATTATTAATCAGTAATGCCATGTATTATTATAAAATTATAAAAATTTTATACGTCCTGTCGTTCTCATTAAAATTTATATAATCATCACAGACAATAATTTCATTTTATTGAACTCGAACCCACGACCTCTAGACCAGCACAATGGCATAATTGGCAAGTAAATTACCCATCATCTGGTCACACACACACACACACCACTGGCAGGTCAGTAACTGGCACGCCACTCACCACAGCGGCTGCGACTCGCACGGCGCGTCCTCCGTGTCAGAGCTGCCATCCTCCTGGCAGATGGTGATACTGTCGCACTCGCTGTCGCTGGCGCTGGCGTACTCCATTATTGTCGCGGACATTGCTGCGTTCACTGCTGTCGCGTCTATTTCCTCTAAAAATATTATAAAATATTGTTCATAACTACTAGAAATAAATGAAAATATTATTTATAATATTAACATATACATCTAATATATAAAAATCTCGTGTCACGGTGTTTGTGGTCGCACTACCCCGAAAACGGCTCGACCGATATTAATGGTTTTTTTTTGTATATTTGGTAGGTACGAGAATAGGTCGTCTTTATCACCCTCCCACCTCCACCCCCCATTTTTTAATCGCGATTTTAGTATTTTAGTATGAACAATATTATATAAATACATAGCGACGAAACCGAGCAAAGCGAGCGTGAATCGCTGTATAACATAAAGCCAACGAGTTTTTTGTAGATTAATCGCGGGCGTAGCTGCGGGTTCTGCTAATATCTATACATATAATAAAATTGTAACTAAACCAAATCTGTACACTAAATATTTTTTGGAAAATCTTATTGAAATAGATATTATTATCGATACAGAGGTCGAATCTATAGTTTTTAGAATTTTTGTCTGTCTGTCTGTTACCACATCACGGAAAAACCACTGGAGGGATTTTGATGAAATTTGGTATGGTCATAGCTATATACCGGATAACCATCCGGGTCAACATATAGGATACTTTTGACCGCGGGAAAATATCTCATTTCTGAGAAAAAATACAAAAACTGCAATGCAAGAGTATATTAATATGTAAAACCTAAGAATTCGGTTTTTAGTATCTGAACGCGGGAGGAGCCGCGGGAAATGCTAGTCTGTATATAATTAGATACCAATGGCTAAGGGTGAAAATTTAGCAGAGGTAAGCCGTTCCGAAAAAAACAAACAAAAACATTGATATGCAATTTTTATATAAAAAAATAACAAATAACAAATTTAATTATAAAGATATTTTTTTTCTTAATAAGGCTATTATGTTTTTTTAAATGTATATAAACTTAACTAACTTAACACTTATTAAAAAAAAGTGTACTTATGTACGCACGTAAGAAGTTATACTTCTTTGGGGTAACAGAACAAAAATAGCTAAGATTCCATCCCGTATGTCACAACTCTCTGTTTGTAAAAGTTAACTTCATCAAGTCGCTTTCAGCTAACTTCATCATGTCGCTTCCAGCTAACTTCATTAAGTCGCTTTCAGCTAACTTCATCATGTCGCTCTCAGCTAACTTCATTAAGTCGCTTTCAGCTAACTTCATCATGTCGCTTTTTGGCTGTCGGTGTGCGCGCGCATCGTAAAGATTTTACTCTGATAATATATATATAACTTCAAAAAGTTTTATGACAATATTTAGATAACTTATTTCATGTCAAAATTAAATCACATTTCAAATAAATCAGTGGCATGACGTCATACTTTTTATTTATTGAACAACTAGCGGCTCACCCTCGCTTGGCTCGGTTTCACCACTAGACAAACAAAATCTATCCCACGGGACATCCGTACATTTTTCCAGGATAAAAAGTAGCCTTTTTGTTATTTTTGTGTTTTTGTTTGTTGTGTTTGTGTTTATGTTTCATTAAAATCCAATCAGTAATTTTTGAGTACAAAGCTGTATAAGTTACGATAGTTTTTGAACTATCCTACGGGAACTCTTTCAGTTCCTAGGATAAAATGATGTTGACCGGGGATATAAGGTACCACCATGCAAAATTACATTTAAATCGGTCCAACAGTTTCGGAGATTAGCCCGTACAAACAGACAGAGAAACAAAAAAATTGAAAAAAATCTGATTTATGCTATTACTCTTCTTACATCCCCCTGACTCGGCTTTTAGCATTTTTTTTTATATACAGACTTTTGACCTCTACAGTTTTATTATATGTACACATATAGACTAGCGGCACACACTCGCTTCGCTCGATTTGTTTCAAAAAAAAAGCAAACCTACCCACGGGAATCGTACATATTTCCGGGATTAAAGTGTCTTATTCCAGACTATAATCTATCTCTGTGCCAAATTTCATCCAGATCCGTTCTGACGTGAAAGATTAACAAACATCCATATTCACAAAGTTTCACATTTATGATATTAATTCAGACTTAGTTTAAAAAACTAAAGTCAATAGTATGAAAATTAATGCCATAATGGTTTATAAGCAAATTCTATTGAATTCACCGAAATTAACAAAAATGTTAAGCACACACAGCACAAAATGTCTATATTACACTAAAATCAAGTTAAAAACACGATACAACAAAAAATCTTATAAGCATTGCACTCGTAAACAATAACAATTCGCCATATTGTCTATATTACGCTAAAATCAAATTAAAACTCTACAAAACAAAAAATATCCTAAGCAATGCACTCTTAAGCAATATTAATTCGCCACATTAATTTATATTATTTCATTTAAATAATAACAATTTTCGCATCGCTTGTCAAATTAGTGACATTTGTAACTTTTGACCAATCACAAGCAGAATAAGCTTTTCGAAAGCGGCTTTTCGAGCAACAAAAATTTGATAAGTGCACATGCGTAAAATGCTAAAAAACTTCAAAAAAACTGACTTAAAAACACTAAAAAGTAAAAAATAACTGATTGCTAGTTTTCATTTACTATAAATAGCTGATCAGATATTTTCGAAGTAGGTGTGCTTTGATTGTTTCGGCTGGCACCGACTTTGAAAATATCTGATTATGTATATACATACATGTATGTATAGTAAATGAAAACTACCAATCAGTTATTTTTTACTTTTTAGTGTTTCTTTTGATGTCGGTTTTTTATTTATTTTTAAACGTTTATATTTTTCCCGTTTTAGTGTAAATGCAGTAGTAGCAAAGCAAGAAAAAAGTATTTTAATAAAATATTCGCTTAAGCCGTTTAAGTTAGTTTGATGCCAATTTTTATATGAAGACTTAAACTAAAATTCGCTTTTATTAGCAATATTAAAAAATCTGACTCTAAAATCCAATTCTAACGTATTAGGCTTGTCAAATCAAACAAAATAAGCCCAAACTCAAAGTATCTATTATTAGCCGTCGAAGAGTTCCACCTATCCACCTTCTGGCCTTACCGTCACACCAGGTCGACGATACCGAACCACTGCACTATCAACGGAAATAGATACATTTGCAAAGTTTCAAGACAATATGACAATAATTTAGAAGTAGATCAAATTCATCATTAGCTATTTTTTCACCCTTAGGGGTGGTATTTTTTTTTTTTCAAATTATAATGGGGCCAACTTGAAAATATACATTTTCAAACAAAACGAACCATGTCCAAATCGGTTAATAAATGACAAACATAAAAAAAAATGTGTGTGTACTTATATAAAATAAGCACGTGAGAAGCTATACTTCTTTGAATCAACAGAACAAAAACAGCTAAAGATTACATCCCGTATGTCACAACTCTCTGTTTGTAAAAGGAATGCAGCTAACTTCATCATGTCGCTTTCAGCTAACCTCATCATGTCGCATTTTGGCTGTCGTTGTGCGCGCGCATCGTAAAAAATTTGCTCTGATAATTTTTTTCAATCGTCCCAATAGAAGTATAACTTCAAAAAATGGGAAGCAGTTTTTTGATATAGATCGGTAATTTTATTCATATGTATATATTTTCCGAACAATTTTCAATAATAATCATTGTGGCCGAATTTCGATCTCTGGGCAAAAACTAGCTTCAATAAAATACAATGTAACCTTTTATATATAGACAGCGCCACCTTTTAACAAATATAACTACTAACAATAGCCTATAGGTCATAATCCACCGAATAAAATTATAAAAATTGTAAATTTTATCCAAACCCGTAACGTAAGCCGGTGGTAAATCACTACTAATATTATAAAGAGGTAAAGTTTGTGAATTTGTGGGTTTGTGAGTTTGTGACGGTGGGGGTAATCTCTGGATCGACTGAAACGATTTAAATGAAATTCGGTAAGAAGATAGTTTGAGACCCTGGGAAGGACATAGGATAATTTTTATCCCGGAAATAATCCCTTAAGGGGATGAAAGTGGGGATGAAAGTTGGTATTGGGAAGCAATATATAATATACAAATAAAATGAATCTTACTGAAAGGATCAACAGCGTGCGGCGAGATCTGCTCCTGGTCGGAGGGATCGCTAACCACCGATACCGAGGACGCGCAGGACGTGGTGCGCGTGCGTTCGGGGCTGGAAAGAGAAATATATAGATAAATAGATATATAATACACAAATATATAACAATTAGTAATAAAAAAAGTAATAATAGATAAATGTGAAAGTGTGTTGTATGTCTGTCTTTCTTTCACGTCAAAACATGTGAGTGAAAGATTGGCGTGTTGATTTGTGTGGCGATAGTTGGAGGGCTGGAGAGTGATATATAGTACTTTTTACCGAGATTATCTCATTCCCACGGGAATACACGTTACAATTCAACCCACAACAACTTAGTTAAAATTTCGGGTCTCGCACCTCTGATATTCTCATTTGCGAATCATTTTCAACTTGTTTAACATTTGTCTTACTGTGAAGAAAAACATTGTGAGGGAAATCTGCAAGTCTGAGAGAACCTGCCAAATTTTTAAAAGAGTACGGCCTGGACCCCCTTGCATTAAAGGGAAGCCCACCCCCAGCAGTGAGATGTTAAAAAGGGCCGGAAAGCCATAGCCAAGCCATATTATTACTTTCACTCACCGTATATAATGCTGTAGCTGGTTTAACAACGTCTCTGTAGTTGTCACAGGGGGAGGGGGTGCGGCAGCTCGTTGACGCGCGTGTAAAGCCGCGCGGGCGTGTTCGAAACATAACCTGCAAATAAAATAAAATTAAAATGTATTTAATTAGACTTATTATACAAGCACTCATGAATGGAAAAGTTTTCCATTTTTTTTGTATTAATTATAAAAAATACAATCGGACAAAAAAGTACTAGATACACAATCCCATTCAAAAGTTCTCTTAAAACCAATCAGCAATTGTGTCTATAATAGTTGAAATAATGGAATGGAAGCTACCACTGGCTTGTAAAGCAGTTTTGCTGAGAAGCTATAGAAACTCAACAGTTTCGAATTCGAGTCCTGGGTTAGGCCAAAATTTAATTAATATCACTATTTGTTCTATTAATAATAATAATTTATAATATAGCTATTTGTTCTAGCGATTGTTGACCGTAAGACCTGGGTTCGAGTCTGAGTAGGTCAAGTCTAGTTATTAGGTTTTTCTGTTAAGAGAGTATTCTAGTAAAAAAATAGTTGAGAAGATTATCTCATCGGATTGCGAGAATGGAAGAGATGGAGAATTTAAATATTAGTTGAGACATTAAATATGTTGAGACATTAACACACAACATCACCTAGTTCCATGGTAAGCTTAGAAGCTTGTGTTATGGACACCAGATAGTTGATACACTACACATATAAACTTTAAATACATACATATTATAAATATTTTACTGATATAGAGAGTGGACTTATGTTAGCAATTTGTGCATTATAAAATCTCTTGAGCAGTTAATAGTTTTAGTACGAATGCCCGTAACAGAACATAGCTTATGACGTCATTATGGGACACAATTAAATATCTTCACAGTTTATATTTCCTTTAGAGAAAGGATGATGTAAAGATATCTAACGAAATGTTATCATCAAGTAATATTTAGTTTTGCGAACAACAAATCAAGCATTCTGATATTGTATACATTTAAAAATAATATATTTATGTAATTTCAGTTTCAGTAGGAAATAAAAAAAAATTAAAAAATATTTTTTGGACTATGATGGCTTATTTATTGACATACCTCCGTGACAAAAGTATAACCCACCCACATAATTTTGTAATAACCAATATAAGACTATATTTACTTTGACATATTATTATTGCATTATTATTATTATTTTTATTTTTTGTAGTATTATTATATATGTACAATTACATTCTAAGTTTTCTAATGTCACGGCGTGATTGTTAGTATGATAGTGCGACAAAAGTATAACCCATAAGTCACTTTGGCTTGAGGGGTTTCATGTGCTAGACGTATTAGTCCCTGTTGATACATGTTCTGTGTTCCTCGTAAACTATTATGTATTAAAGATAAATTTCGATTGATATTTATTTAATTCTAATATAAAATGCCAGGTGGGGAACGTTTAAGCGAAAGTGAAATTAATTCAGTTAGGAAATTGTATTCTACAAATTGGTCTTAAGCCAGAATTGCAAAATTTATAAATAGAAGTCATCGTTTTGTGTGAAATTTTCTAAAATATCCTGAAAATTATATTTTAAATACGGTAAAAAAAAGAAGATTGGTCGACCAAGGGCAACAACACCACGTGAAAGAAGGTGAATTCTGAGAGTCGCATCTAATTCTGCTCTTACAGCTGTTTTTTTTCAAAAAGAAAAAGCAAAATCTCATCTAAATACAAAATTTAATCCAAATCGTAAGAACAGTCTCAGAGATACATATAGTTTTATATTTACACACTAGCTAGCGGCTCACCCTCGCTTCGCTCAAGTTCGCCTCTAGAAAAGCTCAAACAGATTTATCCCACGGGAACCGTTCATTTTTCCGGAATAAAAAGTAACCTGTTGTTTGACCGGTAATATAAGGTATTAGCATGTCAAATTTATTAAATTAGGTGCATAAGTGTTGTGTACTAAGCTGTATAAGATACTATACTTTTTTAACTATCCCACGGGTACTCTTTAATTTTCCGGGATGTAAAGTTGAGTGGGGATATAAGGTACCATGCAAAATTTCATTTAAATTGGTCCAACAGTTTCGGAGATTAGCTCGAACAAACAAACAGACAGAGAAACAAAAAATTGAAAAAAAAACTCCATTTTTATTTCTCTTCTTACATCCCTCTGACTCGATTTTTAGTATTTTTTTCTATGTACAAACATTCGACCTCTAAAATTTTATTAAATGTATAGTTTTTATAGAAGAATTGCTCATTTAATAATTATAAGTTTAATTACAATGTGAGCAGAAATAATATACATTTAAAATAATCCAACTCACCCCTGTTCCCTCTCCGCAGGAGCTGGGAAAGAACATCTGACCCCCGTAGATGATGCTACATAAGCGCATTGCTTATATGGTGCAGTGGCATCATCTAGTATATGCCTTGCACAGTAGGTTCTACCACCTACAACGGGGAGGGTGCACTCATAGGCTCTATGGGCACAGGTTCGTGCACGAGAGACTATTTCTTTTTGTAACTGTAATAAATAATGGCAATATTTTAAATGTATATTATTATGCACTAGCTGTACTGCTATATCACCCGCATTAAATTTGTTTCATTATAAACATCAGTTTTACAATAATGTATGGAAATCTGAAAAAATTACTGCTCCGCTTTCTTGGGTAGTAGCATGATGATATACTTATAGCCTATAGCCTTCCTCAATAAACGGGTTATTTAATGCAAAAAGATTTTTTCAAATCGGATTAAAAGTTCCTGAGATTAGTGCGTTCAAACAAACAAACAAACTCTGCCTTTTTATAATATTAGTATAGATGACTTATAATTCACTATTATAAATGTTTATGATATTACTATTATATTACAAGGCAGTGGTAGCCCAGAGGTAACGCGCTCGCTTGGGAAACCGAGTGAAGCGAGTTCAAATCCCGGGTCTCGCACCTCTGATATTTTCATGTGCGATCATTTCTAGCATGATTACCACTTGCCTTACGGTGAAGGAAAACATCGCGAGGAAACCTGCATATATGAAAGAACTTAGCAAGTTTTCGAAAGACGTGATTTTACCCTTGTTATACTTTTATGTATACTAATATTACAAAGAGGTAAAGTTTGTGAGATTGTGAGTTTGTGACATTGTAGGGAGTAATCTCTGGATCTACTGAACCGATTTAAATGAAATGTGGTAAGAAGATAGTTTGAGACTCTGCGAAGGACATAGATATATACTTTTTATCCCGGAAATCATCAGTTAAGGAGGTGAAAATGGGAATGGAAGTCTGTATGGGGAATCAACCTAGGAACGAACTCGAGCGAAGTGAGGGTGAGTCGCTAGTCTATACTAATATTATAATGAGGTAAAGTTTATGAGTTTGTGAGTGTGAGTTTGTAACGTTGTAGTGGGTAATCTCTGGATCTACTTAACCGATTCAGATGAAATTTGGTAAGAAGATAGTTTGAGACCTTGGGAAGGACATATGATACTTTTTATCCTGGAAATCATCCCTTAACTTGGTGAAAATGTGGATGAAAGTGTGTATGGGGAATAAAGCTAGGGACGAACCCGAGCGAAGCGAAGGTGAGTCGCTAGTTATTTATAACTTATAACGTTCCTAGAGAATACATCTTCATAGTAGTGAAAACTGAATTGAAATTGGTACAGTATGTCTGATATTAACCAAAACAAACAGTGCGGTGGGAGATTTTAATTGGTACTTTATTATAGTGATAGTGATGATATATGAAAATATAAAATTTGTAATTACTGATATTTTGAATGATAAATTTCAAATATTTTCAAAATATATTATTAAAAAACCCATACCTGTAGCCTCAATCTTTCTTCCTCTTGTTTCTTCACCAGTTCAGGATCTGGAGGTTTGATGGACTTCACATTGGTGATCCTGATTGAAGAAGATCTCCCCCCTCGGCTCAACATTCTGACTTTCTGTAGATGTATCACTTTGCGAGGTTGTGACATATTCTTTTCAGGCGATGAATTAACTAAAAAATATCATTAAATTTTTTATTTATAATTTTGTATAATATTTGTATGCTTAATTAAAAGTTTCAATCATTTTAGGATTAATTATTCAACCGGTAATAATTAATATTTAGAAAAAAATAGTATAATATATGTATTATATTTTATTCAAATTAATCTATGCAGATAAATAAAATTGAAGTGTATGTTTGTAATGTCAAAATAACTGCTTTTTACTAAATGCATATGAAATTATATTCGGTACTTATAAGGAAAACACAACTTTTAATTTTTTTGTTTATCTTTCTGTTTGTTCTAATCTTCGAAATGGCTGGACCGATTCTAAAGGAACTTTCACTGGCAGATAGCTGATGTTATAAGGAGTAAGTTAGGCTACTTTTATTGTACAAAAAGGATTAGGGTTCCGCTCAAAAACGCAACCGAGTGAAGCGAGGATAAGTCGCTAGTCAAAAATATGAATCTAATCTACACATGTAATAAAAAAATAAAAAACCCAACTGCATAAAAGCTAACTAAAAATATTATGAAAACAAATTGACGAAGGAATATACTATTATGCAGACACACTATGACACTCCGTTATCAAGACGAATCTAACGACGTACGTAGTACGTACATATATTGATAAACACATTACCTTCATTACGTCATGCAGTCGGGTAAAAAGCGTAACTGATGGCCGTCTATACATGGAAGATATTTGAGAAAAGCTATTATTGGAGGTACGTATTTATTAACGCAATAGAACCCAAAACAACGATTTTTAGAAGTTTTGTGTGTTTGTCTGTGCATATGTGCGTGCTAATCTCAGAAACGGCTTAACTGATTTGGGTGCGGTTTTCACTAATGTATTGTGATTTGTGGTAAGCTTCATTTAACAGTGTTTTATTTCAATCAGTTCAGAAATAAAAAAGTTATGTCAATTTAAGGAATTACCAGGGACAACCCCGGGTGAAGCGAGGGAGTCGCTAGTAATACATAAACCCAATTTAATCATTATAACGCATTTCATCCGATCCGTTTCCCATTTAGTAGGCTGTAAAGTATTTGACCTTTTCTACCTCTACAATATATGAAATTAAAAATGTATGTAGGCGTACTGACGAAACGACGAGAAGACGAAATGTTGTTGGAAAATAATCCCTATTCCTTTGACTTAAGTACATCATCAAAACGTTTAACAACTTTCAGGTGTAGAAAATATAACAAAACACGTGTACCAAATAATAAACAGACAATACATTTATATAACATAAAAAATTATAATTTTACTTACGCTCAGAGATTCTAATATTATGAGTTTGCAGATGGTCCACATTTTCTTTTTTTATTGAGTACATAGTTTGTGGTTTGAAACTAATTAACTAGTAAAATACAATCGACTTTAATCTGTAATATAAATTAAATAAAAGTCAAACCAATTTTAATTAGGTATTTTAATTATGATAATTATACACCAAGAAAAATAATTTGGTTTTTTTGTGAAAAGCGAAAGCGGAAAACCACGTACACAGATTCAGAATATCTATCACGAACTACGCATTTGGGCCGCGAAAATATATTAACAAAACATTGTCAAATACGATTCTTATTTATTATTAATTGCTTTCTAAAAAATATTGGTTAAGGCTAATTACATTAAAAAGATGAAAAAAATAATTAAGTAATTTTTAACTAATTAACGAGGGTTTAAGTTATAAATTTTGGTTTTTCCTTGAATGAAATAAAGAAGTGTATTGTATACTACAGTGGTGAGTCGGCCATTTGCACCGTTTGACAGAGTCTTCAGGTCCGTATATTTAAAGCCGTTTATTTCTTATGAAAATTAATTATTCCTTTCAAAAATATGCACAAATGATAGTATAATTACTAAATTACAAAATATAACTTAGTGATAATGTGAAATGTACCTGGAATTGTTGCAGATCTTCATTTTGTCACCGGAGTTCTCACTGTGAAACCACCAAAATTTTACAATGGCGACCGCTTGAATAAAGCAGATAGCTACGAAGTTATACAAAAAGTGACGAAATTTCTTACTAAATTTTCATTTAAGTGCTAGTAGTGAAAAACTTTATTTTTATTTAGTTTTTATTTTGTGAATATTTTAGGTGTTGTAGACTTCACGATGTTATTTTAATATTTTGTAAATCACTCAAATGTTAACGTGGTCTGCATCCGCTCGTCGCTGTCATAGCGCCGTCTCTTTCCCACTTAAGCACATAGACGGAGCGCAGCTCTCTGTCGTGCTTCCCCGTGGGCAGTCATTGGAATACCCATTCAATGGCTGGTGCACAAGAAAAATGGTATTTTACAAAAGAGCAACTACAGAACTCCCCAAGCAGAAAATGCGGTTTAGATGCAGATAAGGAGTTAGCTTATCGGCAGCAGGCCGCAAATCTCATCCAGGATATGGGCCAGCGGCTCCAAGTGTATCCTTTTCAAAAGTGAAGTGCAATGTTTTTGTCGAGTCATGTGGCTGAAACTTGTATTGAAAGGGTCTAAAGTGTTATTATTTGTGAAAAAGTCAATAATTTTGTGCAAATATTGTTAGGTAATTCGTGAATACTTCTAGTGATAAAGTTTGGTTCGAATTGAATGACGAAACGTAGAAACGTTGAAGGCGTCAGGCTCAGGCGAGTCACTTTCGCTTGGATGTCTGGGAAATCCCGAGAGTGATCTCGATTTCTAAAGGTAAGCGTTTATTCTGAATGTTATTTTAGGCTTAACATTATCATATATTGTTGTATTTAGGTTATGGTCTCGTGCTGCGTGCTATTTTTTTAGGTCAGTGCACTTTGACAGCTGTATAGGACGCCTGCGCGATGACGTAGGGATCGACCTGTCTGGTTCTAAATTTACACGGTTTTATTACGGTACATGGGTTTTGCGCGGCAAATTCCGCGGCGAATTCACGATATCCACGTGCAAATGACGAGTATTTGGCTGTAGATGTGTGCAGTTGTAATTTGTAGTAAATTACTCGCTTCTCGATGTTATTGCATATGAGTCACGTTCAGAGGCTGCTGATTATTCCTACGATGCAACGATAAAAATACTGACGTGATATTTAAATCAAAACAAACGTATAGTACAGAAAATGATAACCTATGGTTCTGGGAATTTCAACTTGTCAAACACGTTTTTCCTGTTTTATGCATGTATATAACATTGTCTGTTATATTCAAAAACTTTAAAATTAAGAGTTGATTTAAATACAAGAACAATCAAAATTGCATATACAGTAACTTTAGCAGCCATGTAACTGACCTACATCATTTGCCTTTCTATTTTTTGGAGGTGCGTCACTTTTCAGTGTCAGCAATATTTAAGTTCATGGAGCTTGCAAAATTATATAATGTGTCATTAATTTTTAAATTTAATAAAATTTCTATTTTTGTTTCGAATGGTCTAAATAATTATGTATATGTACATAATGCAAATCGGCATAGTATATTGATAATACTTGTTGAAATATTACCATATTAAATATATTTTATAATAAAAAGAAAAAAACCAAAAACAAAAACTATAAAAAAATCATAAATAAAATAAAATTTAATCCTGATAATTTTTGAAGTTGTATAAAAAATGTTTTTTCTATAATAATTTGGTAAAACCTCTTTTAACTGGCAGTTGCCCTTATACTTGGCATTTTGTATTCTATACTTGACCCAAAAATTTTATTGTAATTTTTTTCTAACACCTGTTTTGATAACAATAGATTGGGTACAAGGACTACCTGCCATTTTTTTGTATCTATGTCAGGTATTTTTATTTTGGTTAGAGTAATGATATTCAAAACTCTATTTAAAAAAAAATTGAATGATTTTCTATACTATGAATGTTATTAGTGAAACAACACAAACATTACAATCAAATAATGAAAAAATCTAGAATGTTCATAGCATATTGAAATAAAACTTAAATTAGGTATGATTCATATAAAATTATGTTTATTACATAGATTATTGATAATATATTGTATATTATACATTTCATATATAAAAAAAACAACAATTATGTAACTAATCTGAAGCTATATGCATTAAGTATAACTATTGATTTTGTTTAATTTCACATGCAAACGTTCTGGTGCATAGATATATATCTAACTTTTATTGCTGAAGTAAAGCCAGAGTGCCAACTTATACAATATTTATCTTGCTTTTTTTTAAATCAAATGCTTAGCAAAAGCCATTTCTATGGTTGCCTGTCATTATATTATCTGGGATTGACGCTTGATAGTAAACTCAGTTGGAACACACAAGAGATAACCTCCTGCCACAATATATTAAATTAATCAATGCCTATATAGACATATGATTGGGAAGCAATGGGCCATCGAACCATACAAGCATCCCAGACATGTGACAGGCTAGACTGTTAGCATATACTCTTTGAATGCTGTAGCTGTAGAGTGGCAGCCTGCTAGACTACTGGGGCACCCTGCGGTGGAATGGGCAATAATGCCTAAGTGCGGAAATAGCCATGAAGAAGAAGAAAGCCATTTCTAATAATAGAAATTAAATAAATTCATTTTTTATCTCTAAGTAGGTAAATGATAAATAAATGGTGGGATGACTACTCGACACGACCAGTGAGACTTAAGTCGCAGGACCGACGTCTTCGTTATCTCCGAGGTGGGTGAAACACTGTCAACTTTCTAACTCTGGGCTGTTACTGCAACTTACTAAACAGGAAGACTCAATAACTAAACTTGGCCTGACTCGGGACTCGAACCCAGGAGTTCCGGATGTGCAGCCGTACATGCTAGCCACTACACTACCGAATGGGAGCTGATACAAATCAAAGCGCATTGACTTTGATTGAAAATATTTGATTAGGTATCTATAGTAGATGAAAAGTATTTTTTCCAATGACTTTTTAGTCTGTGGTAGCCTAATGGTAATGTGCTTGCTTGGGAAACCTAGTAAAGGAGGTTCAAATCCTGCGCACCTCTAATATACCTATTCATGTGCGAATAATTTCCAACATGATTACCGCTTGTGTGACTGTGAAGGAGAACATTGTGAGAAAATTTGCGTGTCTGAGTGAACCTAGCAAGTGTTTGAAAGACGTGAAATCTGCCGACACTTGCATTGAAGGGTGGTCTGTGCCCAGCAGTGGGATGATCTGTTGTAGAAAGTATGCTAAAATTTGTATACGCAATGATCCTCTTGGTATAAGCTATTTCAATGATAATAGTTCTACGAAACTAAATACACTACTTTTGACTAATTGTAATGTATGAAACTCATCAAAACAAATTAAATTAGCCCAAACTTGAAGTTTTCTTTAGTAGCAGTAGCAGTTTTCACTATCCGCCTTTTGGCTTCATCACAGATCACTTCAATGATACTTGAATTGCTATATGTATTTATTCTGCTATTTGAGGCAGATACGAATCCAACAAATCAAAGATCACAAAAATCGGTCCAGCCGTTCTTGAATAAGAACTAGTGTAACTAGCCTGACTTTATTTTATATATAGAGACTAGCATTGCCCGCAGCTCCGCCCGCCTTCAGATGACCAAAAACCAAATTCTTAGGTCTTACATATTATTAGTATACTCTTACATTGCATTTTTTGTAATTTTTCTCTAAAATGAGATATTTTCCCGCGGTAAAAAGTATCCTATATGTTGACCCGGATAACCAGCTATCACCATAGGTACCAAATTTCATCAAAATCCCTCCAGTGGATTTTCTGTGATGCGGTAACAGACAGACGAAAATTCTAAAAACTATAGATTCGGTTTCTGTATCGATAATTATTTCAATAAGATTTTCCAAAAAATATCTGTATAGATTAGTATATTTATACGTTTGCTTAAATACGAATAACAATTGTTATTTAGCAGTATAACTGTAAAATGAAATCATATACTATTTACAGCTAAACAGCCTAAAGCCGAAAATAATGACAAATAACTGTAGCTGACTCACAATGTACTGGAAAATTTATGACTCATTACTATTGTTTCATGTGACCGTTTTCATGTTTTGATTATTTTTAATTTGTTCTTCTAGTTAATTTAGTTGTTATATTATATGGCAGATTAAGTGGTACTGGGTTTGAGTTCCGCTTGGGGCTAAAAGAAATTTTGATAATTTCTCCCGGGAAGTTAAGAGTATTAAAGTCATTATTCATTTAGCCCTTTTTATCGTCGCAATACCGGACATGGGTGCCTTGCATTAAAGATTGTGATGTGGGCTGGTTGGTGGACTCGACGTCTTTCGAGAACTAGTTAGGTTCTCAGACATGCAGGTTTTTTCGCGATGTTCTCCTTCATCTTAAGACAAGTGGTTATCATGTTGAAAATGATTCGCAAATGAAAATCAGGTGCAGGGCTTGAGATTTGAACCCGCTTCACTTGGGTTTCTAAGCGAGCGCGTTACCACTGTGTCTCTAGCAAAGTCTTGGGTCCTGTCGGAATACCGTTCGATCAGTTACAATGAGAAATGAAACACGGGATGTACGTTTATATCTCGTAGTTACACGATGTGGATACTCTTCAATAATTGGACCCAGTTATGGCAAAAAACAGCCATGTGCGTAAAAGTACCAACAGAGTTATAAGCATTTTATTATAATGAATAAAATAATTATAAATAATAAACAATACTTATATAAATATTGTTCAATTTTAAAATAACCAGAAAAACAAAACGTAACCCAAGTGCAACTATCGACAGAAAAATGCTTATAACTCTGTTGTTACTTTTACGCACATGGCTGTTTATTGCATAACTGGGTCCAATTAATAGTCGCTATGACTAAATTTAGAATATAAGAACAGTTCGAAGCTGTAACATTGAGATTTGAGAAGAAGAAACAAACCTAAGACTTATAGATTTTCTGTTTATGCTAGTTTTTTATAGATAATGGTACGAAACCTTCCATGCGCAAGTCCTAAATTAAAAGATTAATCAAAAATCAAGTTGCCAAACATATATTTGCCAATTGAGCAAGCGTAATTATTGTTTTATACATTTTTAATTCATTCTCAATTTTAAGAAAAAAAAAACCGGCCAAGTCGAGTTGGACTTGCCCCATCAGCTGTTGGCATACCTCGATAAGCTATCTTTCTCGCACCTATGGCTACGCATCAAACTTTTTTGTAGTACTCATTTGTAAACTTTGTTTACGTCTAGGAATGGTTTAAAACCGGTAAATTCGTCTGGCGATTTGCAAGTATTATTGAAAATTACTCAATAAATACGTGATTAAAATTTCAGATTGCCAAAAGTATATTTTTTGGGAATTTTAATAAAGCATCTTTGGAGAGGTCTGGCAATACTTTATAACCGACAAAAACGTTTGGGGTTCTTTTTTTTTTAATTATATGAAAACTATATTAAAAGGTTAAACAAAAATATATTTTTTGCAGATGTTATATACTGCGCAGTAACGAAATAACCACTAAAGCTATACCAGACTCGCGGGACTGGACTCGCCAATTCACGAAATTATATTTTTTCACAATTTCAACTTGCCAAAAGGACCTTCCCAAATTCGTCGCCAGCTCTCGGAATAACAATACTTATATCAAAATGGCATAAATATTATAAATGCATATTTCATAAGTGCTTAGTTGTGTGTGTTACATATACTCTATCTGGGTGCCTCCACTGTTATTGATGAAACTTGACATATAAATAAGCTATGGCTTAGAAAGGGCCATCTGTTTTTGTGATGATATATTTCACAATAATAATGCTACCATTTTATTTTCCAATATTTAATGTGTCTACTTTTTATACAGATATTGTGTTTAAGAACATTTTTCAAGCCACATGTACTCGACAGATTTAAATTGAAATTATTTTTTTTTGTTTTTATTTCTATGATTGCCAAAATTATTTCCTTAATGGTATATACAGTTCCCAACTATGTATAAATACAGCAATAGTGTATATGCACCGATTCTACGCGTTTCACTCCTTCACCCAGTTCCACAGGAATGCTATAGCCGCTGCTGCCCTGTTCCTTGCTGCAAAGGTGAGATAGATTATAAATTAATAAAAAAAAATTAATATTTATTTGTACACAATTGTTTTTTCATGATACAAAAAATATGATGTCGAATTTCTTATATATTTTATATAATATATTGGCTCATAATATGTATATTGTGGGTTTAAGCAGTTAATGATATTGGCAAGTTTTTAAGGATTTTTTTTTATGTTTCACAATATATAGTTATTAGATAAAACAGCAAGGAGTCTGTAGTCTGAGTTCTGATGTAAAAATTCAAGTGGCTAGCACTTATGGTTGCAGATTTGGAGGTCCTGGGTTCGAATCTCGGGTCAGACCTAATATAGTTTGGGGGTTTTCATAGAAATTTTTAGTAACTGAAGATGGCGGTGTTACATTCATGTCGCTAATTATAACAATATAAATTTTAGGTAGAAGAACAACCACGAAAATTAGAATATGTTATAAAAGTGGCCCACGTCTGCCTCCACAGAGGTGAAGGTGTCAATGCACTCACACCTGAGCAATATCAAGAACAGGTAAGTTTATTGTTTTTTTTTAATTTTTTTTAATAATATATAGATAATGTAATTTATGTAATTTTTCCCGATTTGAAATTTTCTAGGCTTAGGTTATTACAATAAATCAATAAAACTTTTATTTTTAAATAGATACGCGTTTTTTTTATTTAATATTTATTTAACTCATTTATGTATATTTATAAGTAATTATAAACAAAATGAATGGATAAATATATGTGTGTATTTTGTAATGACGATGTTATACTATTTCTAACATCATCACTATATCTGTCAATAGGTAATAACAGTTAGTGTGATGCTTGTAGCTGTGCGAAGATTAGATAAGAAATTTTTAGAATGTTTGTTATCTATATATCTTATTTGTAGTCTATATTGCTTACAAGGAGTTATTATCTATGGCAAGTGAATACCATTGTAGCGAATCTATGACATCTTAATAAATTTTTGTTTCAAGTAAAAAAAAATATGAGAGTAAAATTATTACAATGCGCGCGCACACCGACATGATGAAGTTAGTTGCATTCCTTTTACAAACAGAAAGTTGTGACATACGGAATGAAATCTTTCGCTGTTTGTTCTGTTAGGCCAAAGAAGTATAACTTCTTAAGTGCGTACATAAGTACACGTACGTTTTTTTTCTTTAGAATATATTTTGAATAAGTATAAACTTGTAATATTTTTTAATTTATAGGTATAATATCATATATTAGTTTGACTTAAATAATAATATCCAAACACATTCCTTCAATTATTATCAATGTCCCAATCCATTTCAGGCCCAGGACTTGGTATTCAACGAGAATGTACTGCTACAAACATTAGGTTTCGATGTAGCGATCGACCACCCGCACACGCACGTGGTTCGCACCTGCCACCTTGTGAAAGGTGAGCGTTGTGAGATGTTAACGCGACGGCGGTCCGTGCGCGACTGCGCGTTTGACGGCGGTTTTGTTGCGCGGGTGGTGGGGATGGTTTTGGGTGATGGTTGTTTGACTTTCCATTGGGGGTAGGTTTGATAAGTTAGTAAATGGAAGTCAAATCATTTAGCTTATAATAAGAGTGTACTTCATTATTGGTTTTCATGCGACATTTTGAAAGGTGGATTTTTTATATATGATTTTGATATAATTGAAATGTCGTAGGAAAATTATAATGTAGTATGATTTATTATTATGAGTTAATAACCCTAAAGCCGTCCTCCCGCTACTGTGTGCAACCGTTCAAAAAAAGTGCAACCGGCCAAGTATATATAGATAAGGTATGTTTATGTTCATGTCTGTGTGTCACTCCCATTCGCAATTACCTCTTTAACCCATGCGCTATAAATCATTTTTTTTAATTTTTTTTTCGGCTTTTGAACAAAGGAAAAGCGAAAAAATCGCCCGTTTAACACGTTTTTTTATATATATTTTAAATTGCTATTTTTTTAATATATTTGACGGTTCTTAAGTATAAAATGATTCAACTATAAATATTATTTGAGAGACTAGAAGTTGTTTTCACTTATTTCAGAATTAAATGATAAAATATGAATAATAACTGTTAATGTAATAAATAATCGTTAGAAAAAAAAATTATGTATACTTTTTCTTAAGGACCGTTGAAGACCGTTTATATAATATCTTATCATATTAAAAAAAAACCATCAAACTCTCAATATATTAATTAATGTAAAGCAGTGTTATTTTAAATAAAAAATATATAAATAATTGATTATTTTTTTAAAATTTCAGCTCCAAAAGACTTGGCCCAAACATCCTACTTCATGGCCTCTAATAGTCTCCATCTAACGACAATGTGTCTTCAATACCGACCGACAGTTGTCGCATGCTTTTGTATACATTTGGCGTCGAAATGGAGTAATTGGGCAGTAAGTTTTGTTTTGTTATATATAAAAACTAGTTTTTTTTTAATGAAAGCTAGCATAAGCAATCCGCCGCCATTTTAATTTTTTTTCAATGTAGCGGCGCGTAATGATTTTAGTATGAATGTATTAACGACACGTATATAAACAAAAAATAGTAGCGATATGGTGTTTCTAAAATGTCACGTTTCTATGATATTTGAAGATAAATACCTACTTCGATTTTAAAACAATCATTGAAATGTGAACTTATTACATGTTAATATGTATATTATGTTAGGACATTAACACAGCACCAGTTCCATGGTAAGCTACGAGGCTTGTGTTATGGATACCAGATAGTTGATACACTACACATATATAACTTTAAATACATACATATTATAAATATAAACACCCACGACTTTAGTACAAACATTCGTGCTCATTATACAAATGAATGCCCCCAGCGGGACGCAACCCGCGATCGCTGGCATAGCAAGTAGGGTCACTACAAACTGAGCCAAACGTGTCGTTATGTTAGTTGTATTCAAATAACAGTTTCCATAGTTCCCATATAAACGATCTTTTTACTTTAAAATAATACCACGGTAATGTAAGGCATCAGTATTCAATCTTCATACAAACGGTCGGAAATCGAGTTATACCTACGCGCGTCGCGTTCGGTATACACTCGGTAGACAACCGTGCGGGGCTGCCACGTCGTATAATTGGATACGAAAATTTTATAAGATGGTTATGTTATGTAACTTTTATAATTGGATACAAAAATAAACATTTTATTCCTCCCGTAAATTCGCTATTATGTCAAACAAAAAAGTATCGAGACATAGTATGTTATAAAAATAAAAACTAATTAATTAAATTAAAAATAAAAATTAAAGTATTTTTAATTAAACTTTTTATCCGAATGCGGATTCTTTATACTATTAAATTTAACAATAAAGCTTTTCTTATGTCTCATGTCGAGGTGCAAATATTTTTTAATTAAATCTACTAATAATATTTTTTAAATTAAATATATAATATTTGAAATCACAAAAAACTTTTTAACAAAAAAATAAAAACCGACTTCAAACAAAAGCACTAAAAAGTGAAAAATAACTGATTGGTAGTTTTCATTTACTATACATACCTAATCAAATATTTTCGAAGTCGGTGTGCTTTGCTTTGTATGGGCTGACACCGATTTCGAAAATATTTGATTAGGTATGTATTTAATAGGTAGGCTTTAATTACTTAGCCAAAGCACACCGACTTCGAAAATATTTGATTAGGTATGTATAGTAAATGAAAACTACCAATCAGTTATTTTTCACTTTTTAGTGCTTTTGTTTGAAGTCGGTTTTTATTTTTTTGTTAAAAAGTTTTTATTTTTCCCTTTTTAGTGTAGAAAGTAGTAGCAAAGTAAGGATTCTAACGTGTTAAGCTTGTCAAATCAAACAAAATAAGCCCAAACTCAAAGTATCTACTATTAGCCGTTGAAGAGTTCCACCTATCCACCTTCTGGCCTTACCATCAGATCAGGTCAACAACACCGAACCACTGTACTATCAACGAAAATAGAAATACTTGCAAAGTTTCAAGTCAATATGACAATTAGAAGTAGGTTAAATTCATTATTAGTGGTTTTTCCACCCTTAGGGGTTGTATTTTTTTTTGAAATTTAAATGGGACCAATCTGGAAGTATACCCTTTCAAATAAAACAAAAATTGTCCAAATCGGTTAATAAATGACGGAGTTCTGAGGTAACAAACATAAAAAAAAAAAAACATACAGTCGAATTGAGAACCTCCTCCTTTTTGAAGTCGGTTGAAAACTAGAAAGAAACTCAAGTAGGTAGATGAAATTAAAATACTGGCCGGCGGGCACTCGGGCAGCCCTGTCGCGTGGGTACGTGCCGCGCGGCTGTAGGTATTTATTTCAAGGACAGGCCCGAGTTGGAATACTGTATGCATACATTACCGTGATAATACGCTGCTTAAAGTAATACACTGCTAACATTTGCTTGTTTAAATGTCCATTATTAATATAAATAAAATTCATCAGGCGCCACTTCTATGTTCTTTATTTTATTTACTAGATCCCGCAATCCCACGAAGGCAGACACTGGTTCTCATATGTGGACCGAAGTGTCACAACTGACCTTCTTGAGAGATTGACAGCAGAGTTCTTACATATATTTGATAAATGCCCCTCGAGATTGAAGAGGAAGATGATGACAATGTCAAATAGTGAGTGTACATTTAGTGTTTCTAGTTTAAGTTTTACACTGTTTTGGTCTAGTGGCTAGCAGGTCTCGGAGTTCTGGATTCATAATAACGCCATCTATTAGTTGCGAAAATAATCACTTAATTATAATTTATCTTCCAAACTAAATGAAAAAGAATTGGATTTCTGGATTGAAAGAATAAGGATAGCTTATAAGCTTACTAAATTAAACCAATATGTTTATTTCTCTATAAAATAACGCTTAAATTTTATTCTTTATTCAGGCGGTAGTTCACCACATTCAAATGCCGCACACCCATCCGGTTCGGGGGTGGCCAGCTCGCCCTTCGACAAAAAACACACGCTTGCCAACAGCGATGAAATAGACAAATCATTTGATAAAGGTTTGTATTTTTGTTAAGTTATTTAGTCTTTATTTTAAGGATGCAAATGATCTTTTAATTTTATCACGATATGTTATGTATGATTTATTACTTTTTGTCTTAGAAATATACGATAATTTATGATTATTTATTATGTGTAGAATATGAACGTGAAAGGCGTCGTCAGCAACCACCAGGCGGCTATGTGCCAGCAACCGTACAACCAAATCCGCCGCAACCACAGAAAATAGATTATAACTTGTACAGAGAGAAAAGAGAAAGAGAGGAGAGAGAGAGACGGGAAGAGAGGGAAAGGCGGCAACAACAAATACAAAGACCACCTCCTCCGAACCAGCCGAACCAACGTCCAAGCCAACCTCCTCCACACCACCGACCTACCCCACACAAACCTCACCCATGGCCTCACAAGCCACCCCATCACAAACCCCCACACGACCACCGACACAGACCACCACCTATCCCATCCACTTCTAACCCCCAACCTGAACCGCAAAGAACACGTCCTCCGTCCCTGTTTTCACCTGAAAACCCGACCCCTGCAGTCGCGGCCCCTAGGCGACCCCCAAATCCTCCTAGACCCAGGCAGGAACCGAGTAGACCTATGCCAATTCCCCAACCGACCCCACCAGAGCAGAAACTCCCAAGTCCTCATAAAAAACGACCCGATCCGACAGCAGTGGTTCGCGATATGCAACCACCTGCTATACTATCCCCATTCTCATCTCCCCCCAACAAAGATATGAAGTCTAGACCAAGACTCCCATCAAATTCTGAACCTGAATTAGTACCTGTAGTTAAAAAAATAGATGAAACACCTGGTTACGAAAATGTCATACGTGACTCACAACGCGGTAACATAATAAAAACACGTCAACCAGAAAGAAAACCAGAGCCTAGGCCCCTAAATGGTATAGAAACCGACCCCACATTGGTTTCAAACCTCCTCAAGGAAAGTCTGGCTAAACCAGTACCGATAACCGTTCCTACGGAAAAGAAATCTCCCGTAGAAGTGAAAAAGGAACCGGTAGTAGAGACCCCTGTTCCTCCGCCGGCACCTCCACCCCAAGTCGAACCACCTCCCGCTCCCCAACAGGTACCTCAACCCCCACCGCCACCTCAAGTCTCAGAAGACCCTGACCATAAACACAAAAAAGAAAAGAAAAAGAAAGAGAAACACAAACATAAGGATCGCGACAAATCTAAAGAAGAAAGAAAGAAACATAAAAAAGATAAAGAGAAAGAAAAGAAAGTGGAGCCCCCACCGGTGGTTCCGGAAAATGATGGAACCCTCAGAATAACGATACCTAGAGAGAAGTTATCAACGAGTCCAGGATTGAAGATCAAAATCCCGAAGGAGAGGCTCGCTGTGCCCCCACCGCCCCCACAAAATCCGGGTCTCAAAATAAAAATCTCAAAGGAAGTGCTGGAAACGTCTAGAAAAAGGACCGGTGGACCTGACCACGGACCACAACATAAGATGCCGCGTCACGAACCCCCGATGACTAAGGTAGGTTGGATCCCCCCTTATAGACCCCCCTTACCGTACTACATGGTACAACCTCCACCCCCATTGTTTTATGGGATGGGTATGGATTATTTCTATGGACCAATGGTAAGTGGGTACGGCCCTCCACAACCCCCATTGCCGGCTATGCCCCCACCCCCTGTGCCTCCACCCCCACCGGAATGAGAGTACGAATTGTATAGTTTTGTTTTTTTTTTATTAAAGAAAATATTTTCTGAGTAGACTTTCCGAGAATGCCGAAATGAATTGAATTTAAAAATGATAGCTTTTGATTTTTTTTTAATGGACTGTTGTAAAGGAATTTTAGTTTTGTATTTCTTTTTTAGTAAACCTAAGGTTCGATGTCGATTAGGAACTTTCATATTTCTATTTTGTTATCTTTCTATTTTATTCTATTGCTTTAGGACATTATTTGCTTAACTGTTCAATATTTATATATTTAGAAAGTATATAATAGTTGATGAAAGACCTTAAAAAAATCAAATTAGTCTTCTAATTGAAAAAAATAACAAATGTTTTGCATTTTAATTTTATACAAAAATTGACTAATATTCATATAGATTAAAAATAATTTCTATTCTTTCTCATGTGAAGTTTTTACTTTTCTAAATTGTCATTTGAAAACGTTTTAATCAATTTTTGTTATAAAATTCAAATTAATGGCTTTCTCCTTCAAATTTCTTTATCTAGTTAAAAAAAAAAAATTATGCAAGTGCTAGAGTTTATATATATATACTTATTTAATATAGCTATATACTTATGATATTAGTTTAATATAGTGTTTAAAGTATTAATCGATATATTTATTATGTTTCTGAATGTACAAATTTTTCCCATATACATTTATAATCTGTTATTGTTGCTTGATGTCTATTATCTCTTGAATGTTGCTATTGCACGAAAAAATATATATTTGTCTATTCTTATACAGTTATAGGATAGATAAAATGGGATGTTTAATAAAATGTACAGATAAAAAATATTTCGGAAGCTAGTGATGGGTTTCTTATGGCTGTAAAATTTGTATTTTTTATAAACGTTCTTTTGTTAAAATTCAACACGATGAAAATATTTTAATTTTTATATGGCAAGTATATTTTAAATAATCAGGGTAACTTTGAAACTATTGAGTAAAAAATTTATGAATTGAAGCATTTTTTATGGGCCATAAAGAATCTGTTATCTATCTCGATTTTTAAAACGATCTTGCTCACACTTACATGAGAGAAAGAGACGTATAGATACTAGATATAGTATTCATATATAAAATTAGTATTTAAAATCGTATTATATTTCTATTTCATTATACAGGTTTGTATTATCTAAATTAACTATCGATCATCTATCGAATTTTGAATAGCGAAAATATGTAATCTGTGCCAAAAACGTACTATTAGCTTTTCAAACTTGAGTTTTTAATTCTCTCAAAAGTATATTAAAAAGTACTTTGTCGGTCTGGTATAGATTATTTTATAATATAATATAATAACATAAAATAAATTATATGATACGATTTTTTTCTAAAAATGAATTTCACGTGAATGATATACTATTTTTTTCTTGCTACGATATTTAGTAGAATTTTATCCGGATATAAAATACAATTTAAATTAAAAAAGCGCATGTCGCATAGATTGTCTATAAAATAAATTTTATTTTTTTATTTTAATATAAATAATTATATTTCCGATTTATATACATTCCTTATACTTTGAGTGGACATCATTTTTCCACTCTATAACGTTACTATTTTTATCTGTGGCAGCATTTTAGTGATCTTCCTAAAAAAATGTCTGATAATTAAATAATATATATTTATGTCACAAATAGATTTTTTTCTTTGATCAATTTCGAAGTATAAAATAATAATAGTAACAGAAAATATAACCTATAATATATTAAAAATATAATATAGACTGTAGTATATAAATGTACGTTTGTATTGTCGTTGGCTGTATAAAATTAATCTGTTTAAAAAAAATAACTTCAAAGTGATGTTTAAATAATATAGGTAATTTTTTTATATTAAGTTTTTTTTAAATGTTAGCGTTTGAACAAAAAATAATGTGCGCTCGGGAAATTCTTAACGACAGTTATTCGTAATCTCAGACTAAGGAATAATATTGACAGTGTCATAGAATAATGCATGAAGCAATCAATAACGTTTTATTCTTTAAAGAAATCAAACGATCTGTATTGCAAAATCGAGAATAGTAGCTTAAACAGCAATCACACTACTATTTTTGACTTCGACATTTTTTTGGGCGGACTCCTATCTATATAGTTCTTTAGTCTGTGTTCATATTTAGTGTTCTCATTAACATATTAATTATTTCTTAGGTGAATTATAGATTTTGCTAGATTTATTTGTAAGTTCATTCGCAATTTGATCATGACATTCCATTAATAGCTAAAAGCTAATGCAGATTATAAATTTGAAGGATGGTTTAACTATGTTACATTTTTCTTTTTTTTTTACTCTATTTAATAGAAAAAAAATGTATAGTTTCTAAAGTTAATCTCAAACATGATCAATATCACATCTTGTTATTATTTATAATAATTTTTATTTAAGAATAAAACTACAGTTTCTTGTACATTATATATATGGTTTTCGAAAAAAAAAATCAAAAACATTACCATTTCAGCTTTAATTTAATTTTATGTTATCCTGTTATTTTTAACTGCTTGCTCAAATAAAAAAAAAATAAAAAAATATTATTTAGATATACAGGGTGTTGTCAATGTAGTGTTCCTTATGAGAGTTGCTCTAAGCCAATATAAAAGTATTAGGAGCGCAAGTTTTGCACGTATATTAAAAAAAAAACATTTGACATTGTGTACAGATAATATAAATAAATCAGTGTTGGTTTCGGCCAAGAATGGTTGTGGTCGGCGTTTGTGTATACAATGCGTTGTGAACTCTGAAATATTTTTTTCTAATAGTGGTGCCATTTTCGTTACCATTTACTATAGATTGATAGATGAAATGTAAAAGTTATTTTTTTATATATTTCTTTTGAAAAGTACTTAAATTTTTAGCTATTGTTAAGTTTAATATAGGTTTTAATTGATCTTGAGCTGTAAATCTTCATAAAAACGAGATTATCCTTAAGAATTTAAATGAAAATTGTTTATATTATTTTCATATTAATACAACTACTAAGATAAGGTGACTCTTTTTTATAAGACGCAAAATCTAAAATTGTTTTTAAAATTAAAACATCACGCTGTAAAATTATATGAATTTTATTTTTTATAACACCATATATAATTAATTATAAATCACATTGGCGTTATGTGAGAAGTCACTTGGCTCGGTCAAGTATGGACTTGATCATCGCCAAGTTATATATATTTTTCTAAATCGTATGCATGTGTGAATTGTTGCTTGACATTTTTATTGTTTCTTTATAATCACATGGTTTTTATAGCACCTGTTTATAATTTTTTTTCTCTATTACTTGGCTGTTATTTTATTTATTTTTTTGTGTGTTTTCGGTGCACGTCATATAGACAACAGCCAATTAATAGCGCGCAGCTGTGTACATCGTGTCCTGTGGGGCTAAAAAAATACTATTCCAAATTTGATGAAATTTATAATTTGAAATAGTAGATTTTAAAGCTGGGATGCTCTATCACTACATAACCACTGGGTCTTCCTCGCTTCTAAATATGGTGGCGGGTGGCTTTGATTTTTGTAGTTCGGATTGCGTTAAAACCCACTTTAATTCGGCCTTTGACCCACCAAAAGCAATCCCAGCTATAAATGGACTATCAAATAAATTTGTTTGACACATTGATTGATAAACCAACGTGTCAAGCACAAGTTAGTTGATAGTGAGAACGGGCGGCGGTGGTTTATACACGTTGGTCTTTTAAATTCGGTTAACATACTAATCGCAATGCAATAATGTGTGGATTATACTTATAAGTTTCATAAATTACCTTGTAAATGTCAAATTGACACCTGTCACTACTGACAATAGTTTTCTTTCCGGTATAGATTATACACATTATTGCATTCCAACCCCCGCCAAACGTAGCCTCGCTAGGAACGACGACACACGGCTGTGCATTCAACGTCGCTCGTATTACAGGTCGACGCATTCGGCAACGGACATCCGGGCAAGTGACATCACTAGTCGCTACGTGTGTCGACGTTCCTCATCAACAAACGGACCTCACTTGTAGTGTAATTACTACAGAATTCGGTTTTTTTCTTCCTCTCTCTCTCTCAAATCACGCGACGTCGTGTTGCTTTGGGCGTGTTTCTTTTTTATCGACTCATCGTTTTTCTTTAAATTTCAAATGAACGAATGAACGAAAGCGATGAGCGATAACGATATTGTGTTTGTAAATATGGGATTTGAAATAATGATTATTTTTCCATGATTATGTATATAAAATAAAATTAATATCGAGATGCGTTCTAATAATCTATTATTATCTGCATTTTACAATGTAATTAATTAGCCCAATGATTATTGATTGACTGTCATTGGCATTGACCGCTTTGTTCTGTCATATTGATTTTTTAGTTCTATAAAAACAATCAGTGATAATCTAATTAACTGTGTTAATTGTGAAAAGGTTGAATTACTAATGTATCGCGCATAAATTAAAAAAAAAACCTATTTTATATATATATATATATATATATATATATATATATATATATATATTTATTTATCATTCACCGATTTGTTCGTCAGTCATTTTAACTTTTCACGATTGATTGCGTTACGTCGTAAGTAATAAAACGAGTTCCTTGTAACATGCTTTTATAATCCTCTTTAAATTCGTTATAGATTAAAATTAACGTTTAAGACAGTAGCTTTCACTTCGTTAAGCTAAAGTAGTCCGAATATTATGCCTATAATAGAATTATCTCATATATTCACAAATTATAACGCCTAATAGCACAATTTTAACATTTTGATGTATTTCATAGCAATAATAGAACCTTCATTGTATATAAAACCAGCTAGCTATAGACTGAGATTATATGTATTGATTACTAGATACAGTTGAAGATGATATTCGACGATAATATGACTGGCAACCAATAAAATGATAAAACTAAAAAAAAAGTTTTTTTTTGGATTTTTTGAACGCTACATGACGTTTGATTATCGAATTGCTAGGTCATTTTAACGTTGAATATCGATGGTATCGTATCTTTTGTAGGGTAAAAAAGACGTTTTAAGGTCTTTTTTTTAAATTTTCATGTTCATCTGTAAAAGATACGTGTATCAAAAAGTTTTATATCTAGGTGTTCTTTTTAATGTTATTGACTAAAATTGACATTATTCCGTGTAGTAGATCACTTACGTATTGACTCTCGTAATTTTTTCTATCATTTCCTAGATGTAATTTGACAAGAAATTTAATTGTAGATGTAGGATGTTAAACTTAAGTTAAAAAAAATTACGTGTTAAATAAAAAAATGTCACATTCTCTATAAAAATGTTAGGTGACAAAAAAAATAGTAATTTGTTAGTTTTAATATTTAGTATAGGGAGAGGCCGCTTAGTATATTTTTTTCTCGTCTTTGGCAGGCCCAAGACTTCAAACTTTTTTTTTCATATGTGGCTGTGACGACCACGATACAGTTTAATTTAAAAATTTAGTACTTTCGTGATGTATTCTTATGACTTAAGACGATTTAGGTTAGTAAAGAATCGTGAAAAATGTATAAGAATTTGAATGTGTAGTGAACAAATCGGTCCGATCGACTGTTCGTCCCGGCGTTTAAAGCGCAGTCTTTAGTAAGACAACAAGTTAGATATTATAATCGTAATATCGCATCTCATAGTACAGATGCGGTAAAACTTTTAATCATCGACATTAATAAATTTAGAAAAAAATACATAAATAAATGGTAGTTTTATAGGAATTTAGTTACTGTTTCGTAGGCTAAGTGTAAATTTTGTATAAAATAAAAATAAATTAGTGTTCTTTGTCTTTAATATTTAACCAGCTTTCAGCTTGAGTGTTATATCGATTAAAAGCTCGAGTTGAAACCAACGAAAACGAACAAAGTGGGTCAATGTTTTTTTTTTAAATATCATATTTATTATCTGTATGATAAATTATAATAGGGTAACGGCCACGGTTCTTAAAAAAAAATGTGATATGGCAGTTTGACAGGTAAATGAAGGTTGTAAGCTAGTTGTTGTTAATATGTGTACACGTTAGTTTCATTGTAACACCTAAACAAAGTAGCTGATGTTTCTTTAGCTTCTTTTTTTCAATTTTAGAACGTGGTCGCGACCACGAACAATAGACAATTTTGACCAAAAAGTAAGCTAATCTATGCTACAAAGTATTATGAAATTAAATATTATATAATCTATATTTGGAAAATTATTTTGCCGTTCTATATCGCTTCGCCAATGCCCAGAGTATTTTTTTTAAGATGCACGATTTTTTCCCTTTCGAATCAGTTCTTGGCATGCTTTAGAACAAATACTTTGGGTTTAATGGAGTTTGTAGTACTATAAACATCTATAAATAAAAAACGATTTGTTTTTTAATGTAACAGTGTTCTTTCTTTATTACCGAAAAACTGACAGAGCTAAAGTGGCCCAATCCCAAAAAATGTGAAAATTAATTTTAATTGTAAATATTTTTTAGTGTCAGGATAGCTGTGTCAATATATGTGATTCGATTTTTTCTTAATTTATTTATGCAATAAATGTTGGTTGTTAAGTGATTTAGTATATTTTTTTTTGAAAAATAAATCGTATCTCTATTAAAGGATAGGCCACTTTTGCCAACAACCTTTTAATTTTCTCGTAATATGGCGGAGAAAGTGAGAGAGAAGTGAGAACCTTTTTTTTTATTAACGCTGGGAAATGTATTTACGCACGAGTTATGGGACTCACCGGCAAACCAGTACTACCCACTAAAACCCAACAAAGCCTTCCCCCGTCTTAATGGGGCGTCGCAGGATCGCTTACGCATTCAACTACGACGCCCCGACGGCAAGTCTGCCAAAGCAAACCACCACAACCATGGGGTTGCTCCAAGGTCCACTCTGCTATCAGAGAAGTACCAGGAGCAACCCGCATGGTACACCGCCCCCCGAAGAGGGCTACCTCCCACCGCCCACTGAAGTGGGCCACCTCCCTGTGCGTTTCTTGGCTTCGCGCTCGGCTAAATTGCCGGGCACTACTAAGCCCCCTCCACCACGACAAGGTGAACGCACGTTGGGGGTGAGGAGGAGGGAGGTTTGAGGGGAAAGCACTTTACAGCTCTTAGTTAAAAATATCTGTTTTGAGGTTTTAAGAAGAAAGAATCGTACGAACGAGCTTGCGATAAAACTAATACAGTTAAATTTTAAATGGGGCATTTTTTTAAATTCAAGCAAATCAAATTTGCACAGATAACTTATTTTTTATTTTTATTGTTTGATATTCAGTATGCAATTAAATGATAATTAAAATTAGTAATAATGACAGTTTAATACAAAAGTTAAAACAAGACCTAGCCTAGTTGAGACCTTTTTCTAAGAAATTTAATTAAATTATTAGAAATTTACCTGGAGGTGTTAATAAATCTTCCAAACAATACATGATTTGCATTGTATATTAGATACATTTTAATAAAAACTTTGGTGGAGTGCAGACCCTTATCGGCAAGTTGCAGATATCAATTGTAAGTATAAATAAATGAACACAGTCGATAAACTTATTTAAAAACCTCAAAAGTCCTGGGTTCGAATCCCGGGTCGGTACATGTATAGATTTTTGTCAGAAAGTTGGCTGTATTTTGTAAACGCGGTCAGTCCTGCGACTAATTTCTGATCGAACTCATCTAATTTTAGTCCAAAAAGAGTTTGAGAGTGAAAGGAATAGAGTGCAGTGATGTCTGCAGTATAATATCTCCTGCGCATTTGGCTTGTCAGGCCATGAGATCCAGGCGTCAATCAGGAAGAAATGATATGTAAATCCACAGCAACAAAAAATTAAATCAGTTCTCTCTATAGTAAATAATCTATACATATAATAAAATTGTAAGTAAGCCGAATCTGTAGATGAAATATTTTTGGGAAATCTTATTGAAATAGATTCTATTATCGAATCAAAGGCCGAATCTATAGTTTTTAGAATTTTTGTCCGTCTGTCTGTTACCGCATCACAGAAAAACCACTGGAGGGATTTTGGTGAAATTTGATATGGTGATAGCTGGTTATCCGGGCCAATATATAGGATCTCTTTTCGGAGAAAAAATACAAAGACTGCAATGTAAGAGTATACTAATATGTAAAACCTAATTTGGTCATTTGAACACGGGCGAAGCCACGGGCAATGCTATAAATTAATACTTAGATTTACGCGAATATTTGACATTTTAAATAAAACAGTCTTTTCGGATTAATTCGCGGATTTATTTTGATTTTTGGTTCCTGACGTTTCGAATGCTTTACAACAATCATGGTCACGGGAGAGACTAAGGCACTACTAATCTGACGAACCTAAGGTTATAGACGTCTCAAAGGCATTATACACTTGTTACAGACAGTGCCTACCCACTATTTTACAAAAATGATTTCAAAAATTCAAAAATGACTTTTACAATATTTGTTGATTTTTATTTCTAAACATTTAAATTTTTTCTAATAGAAAAACCTATAACTGATAAAGTAGGTAACTTTTAAAACTTATATCGAAATTAGAAAAGCTCACTTATAAGAGTATTGTATGTGATATAGGGCTCGGTAGATGACGCTGTTGTTGAGATTCAGAAATATTTTTGTTTTAATTTCCCACCAAATAAATACTAGTGCTTATTATATAACAAAAGGTTATTAGTGGCAATGTTAGCCCAGTGGTAACGCGCTCGCTTGGGTAACCGAGTGCGGGTTCAAATCCCGGGTCTCGCACCTCTGATATTTTCATGTGCGAATCATTTCCAACATGTTACCACTTGTCTTACAGTGAAGGAAAATATAGTGAGGAAACCTGCATGTCTGAGATAACAAGTTTTAGAAAGACGTGATAAATGTGCAAACCCGCACTTGGCCAAAGTGGTGGACTATCGCCTGATTCCCCTCGTATCGAAGGGAGGCCCACCCCCAGCAGTGGGCCGTCAAAAAGGGCTGAATACATAAAGGTTATTAACTTAAGAAATAAAACAAAAAATATATTTTAAAGTATTTATTTAACATTAGCAACAGTGGTTAAACAATTAAACATAATCAATAATAATACTTTAGTTCACATTTATATGCCAAGCATTTTTAACAATTCATTAGGTATTTTTTTTAATTTTTAGAATAGCATCCGACCTTTATAATTTCAGCAATTTTCAGCATTAAAGTTGTAGTTTCAAATGAAATTTATAATATTTATAATTTTGTTCCGAGACTACTTGTAAGATCCCTCGTCCTGAGTACGAGTGCTCTGATAATTTGAATTGTATTTTAAATAATTTCCCATATGTCACAATTAAATATCCATATAATGGCAAAAATATGCTAAGAAAAATCACTTTAGATATATTTGAGTATATTTTCTTTAAATTGTATTTAATAAAATCGTGTGCAAAACGACGATGAATATGTGATAGAAAAATGAAACTTATATTTTAGGTGTTGGTAGAAATCTGGAATGTGTCAACCATATAAAAAAAAATATTAACACTTTTTTAAAATAAAATGGTGTATTTCTTTATTAGGGAAGTTAGAATCTGTAAGTTTATTTAGTATTTATCTTTATTAATAAGGTAAGTTTTGGGTAAAACAAGATAAATATAGATCCTTTAAATATATTAGAATACTTATACATTTACTAAATTGATCTAGATTTCAATTCTAGTGCACTAATTAACTAACTATATATAATGTACGGTCCATACATTCAGTTTGTTATGGACCTTAAATGGTTATATCATGATTATATATGAAGAATAATTTTTACTAAGTAAAATCTATACACAATATTACTTAATAGGGTATAGTTATTAGTTAGGGTAAGTGTAAATAAGGTAAGCGTGAGTCACGTGACAGAATAGGTAATAAGAAAATTATGTTACATTTAGTTTACAACATAATATTTATATATGTTTATTATTAATATTATAAACGTTGCTTAGCGTTGATATTTAATTAGACGATAATATAATATTATAGATGAATTAATTGAAATTTTTGACGTACATCATTACAATGTTGCTAGATGGAAACAAAACATTGTTCTAGCGAAGCAAAGTTTACGGATAAGTTTGTATATTTATTTAGATGTAGATATTTCTAAACATTGAATCTAGTTTCTGATCCATCAGCTAACATCAGGGTGACGGTACGCGAGTTGGTCCATACAAGACGGGCCAAACGAGCTGGGTTCAATCTAGCCACGTCCGCCATCGGGGCCGTGCTATAGCATTTGACGCAACGAGTTTGGGCCGCACCCAGTCCAAACATGCCTGGAAATGTTGAAAATAAATTATATGAAACATATTATCATGGACCATGTAACGTGAAATTAGCGATTTGATTTATAATTTTCGAATTAGCTCATTAAAAATTACATTATTTGCAATTTAGATCATTTCTGGTATTTTACGAAATAATTTACAATTTATTAATTCCACAAATATGTATATTGGTAAAGATATCTCGTTAATAGGTGTTCAAAAAATAAAAAATATTTCATAATTAATATATGTATGATTAAAATCAATAGATTTCAATGTTATCCAATTTTTTTTATTTTAATGATACATATCAATAAATGTTAGTATATAAAGAATGGAACACAACGTAATATAATAATAAAGTCAAAACTTGCAAGGAACAACATTGCAACTCAATCTTCGGCAAATCGAGCTTAAAAGACCAACATTAAAAAATAATCTTTCACCATTACTACACACGTTGTTTACAATGTTTTTCCTTGCACATATACACACATACTGGTATAAATAAAGTAAATATAAATTTGTTGGGACGTTAACACACATCACCATCTAGTTCCATTGTAAGCTACGAGGCTTGTGTAATGGATACCAGATAGATAATACACTACACATATATATAACTTTAAATACATACATATTATAAATATAAACACCCATGACTAGAGTACAAACATTCGTGCTCATCACACAAATGAATGCCTCTAGCGGGACTTGAACCCAAGCATAGCAAGTAGGGTCACTACAAACTGAGCCAAACGTGTCGTCAAATAGAAAATACCAGTTCGTCTCACCTGCAGTACTTTGCCAGAAGGACAGTCTGTTATCAGAAGTGGCATACGACACAAGATATCTGCCATCGGGACTAAAGGCGCAGGCCGTGACTGGACCAGAATGGGCTGCGAGTGACTGACAGCGTCCCGCGCGCAACTCGTATATGGCCAGCTGGCCAGTGTGACTGCCCACTGATGGAGATTGTAATATAGATATTCGTATTTATTACTGTGTATTTGTTTATTGATGATATGGAATAAAATTAAGGTTTATCTAATATAAAAACTATAATTAATGTTTTATTTTTGGTAGGTATGAGAATAGGTCGTAAAGAATTTTCATCCTTCTACCCTTACCAGCCCATTTTATAATAGCTATTTTAGTATTATTGTATTAACAACAACAAAACAATATACAAAAAGTCCCGAATAGTATAAGTCTATCTCCTAAAGTACACTCGCTATAACTATTTATAGATATATACAAAAAAACGTAGTGTATATATGCGTCCGTAGTATCTTTATAAATATATTCAAAAATAAAATTTTCCACTCATTTATTATGCAAAAGAATGTAATTTTAAGAAGAAATATAAGAATCACCTGCAATCCTCCTAGTGGCTGGACAGTGAGAGACTTGGTTGTATCGACATATCGCTGGGAACACTTCATTCAGACCTTTGCTCTTCAGATGCGACTGGTCCACACAGTGCAGGATGATGTCCATGACCTAGATTGATAGCAATATTAGAAACACAATTCTCGTTTTCTATCGATTTTAATGGAGCGAAAATTCTAGAAAAAATCTATAATATAAATCGTCAATCTCATTAAGATATGTCGAGTCGTTTCGAAATTCAATTTAACGTTAAGGGTTTTTAACCCCATTACTTCCCATATTAAAGAGATTGTGGCCTAAAATTGGGTGGGAAGGTATGAAATGAAACTTTATTCAAATAGATTTATTACAAGCGCTTTTATATAAAGAAATTTTATGTATTTTAAATAAATATCACAATCAGCGAAAAGTAACAGACATACACACACGTACACACACAATTTTTTTGATTATATATATCGTATATAGAGTAGTATGATTATGCTTAACTATGTACAAACAGAGGTAAATCCTATCTGCCAAGGTACGAATTAAATAACAAAAACGATTAGAAAACAAAGCAATTCAATTCAATTCTTTTATTAAATGGCTTCTAGGCTTTTATACAAAATGATTTATTATAATAAGGTTAATTAAACAGTGTATAATCAATCATTTCAGGTGTAAATCCCATATTCTTATTATATAACAAAAAATCGGTAGTGAGTTTGGATATACTTAATGTTTATGTAATATGAAAATCAGTGTTGGATCTGGAAGATCAGGTTTCAATAAATGCTTTTACCAGATGTGTGTTCACCTTGTCGTGATGGTCACTAGCGTCCGGCAAGACAGCCAGGCGCGACGCCAAGGGACACGATGAAAGGTGGGAGTTATACCATGCGAGTTGCTCCTGGTATTTCTCTGATAGGGGCAACCCCTTCATTGTTGTGTCACACAACCGACTTACTCATTTTTTTAGGACGTACCGACTAGAAAAGCCAGTACTACTTACTAAAACCCAACAGAACTTCCCCCGTTGATTAGTGAATAAGTGAGACTATCAAGTAGCATATTTTTCACCGATCCCGAATCTGCATTTAAATCATTTTTGACCAAATTGTTAGTTAGGGCCTTCTTTATTATGATCGCAGAATGAGGCCTACACCAACAATCATCTCACCTCGACCAGCAGCTCAGCCACTTCACCATGCATCCTCTCGATGAGTAGCTCTATGCCGCGGAGCACCTCAGCGCGGCCACGCTGCAGCGCGAGAGCGGCGGGCGGGGGCGGAGCCCCGGCGGGAGCCCCCGCGCATCGAGCCACCTCGCGCGCCATCGTTGTTATGAACGCTGCTGGCCTGTTTTGTCATTTAAACGTTCTATCACGTGGTAAAGATATCAGATTTTAGGGTTCTACTATGGTATGGCAATCATTCGGGACGTACAATTATAGTCTTATCAAAAAAAGACGAAACAAAAGCGTGGCGCGATTGTGTAGCTGGAGACTCCATTGTTTCAATAAGAGCAGCTGGCCTGATGTTTACCATTTAAGAGTTTTATCACAATCTACGAAAGTTTTATCAACATTCTAACAGTAATATAACAAATTTACTGTTGCTTGCGATTGAAAAAAAATTAACAATGTCAAAACAAAATTTATTGTGCAATCAAAATTTATTTTAAAATATATCCGAAAATAACATTAAAAATTCTAGTAATAGTATAAAATGTTTCAAAAGACAAAAAAAAAATCGTAAGTGCATACTATAAGACTTCCGTGGTACCATTCAGACAAAGAGAGACAATAGCGTTCCCAAGGAGGGTTGACGTCAGGCAGGCGTGAGGCGGCCGGTCGTAAAACTTTTGCCAAACCGTATCAGTACACAAGATGTACTGCGCCGACCCCAAGTGATTGGGAAATGGGCAGAGAGAAGAAGAAGACTGTTGCTTGCGATTTAAGGGTTCTACGTCTAAATCAATAGTTTGCTAATCTATACAGTTGTCTTACAAAACCATATACTTAATTAAATTTATTCATCATATAATATTCTTGTTATAAGGGCTGCTGGTCTGATATTTGCGATTTGAGAACCTTTTCAGTCTCAAAACCATACCCTATGAGTTACTCCAGCTCATAGCCTATCTGTATACAAATCCCATCCAAATATGTCCAGCCGTTTCAGCGTGAAGGAGTAACACACACACAAACATTCCCACATCAGAATTCACATCAGAATTCCAAAAAAAACTGGACTTCAAATATCTCATCTCACCTGGCCGTAGCAATAAGTGTGAGAGCGTGACGCGCGGTGCGACAAGAGTCGGCCTGCGGCGTGAGCGGAAGGCCGTAAGTCATCGACGGCACCAGTTTGTCCGCATCCGAGCACATCTCTAGTAAACCTTGTTGGAGAAATATATTTAAGTCAGTATTTTATTGGATTATAAGGTTTTCAATTAAATATATTCATATGCAATATAGTATTTAAAGGATCTATATTAATTGTATTGCGCTCTTTTTTTGACGTCCCTTTATTATAGTCTATATATATATATATATATATATATATATATATATATATATATATATATATATATATATATATATATATATATTCCCAAGGAGGGTTGACGTCAGGCAGGCGGCCGGTCGTAATACTTTTGCCAAATCCTATCAGCAGTACACTGAAGATGTACTGCGCCGACCCCAAGTGATTTGGGAAATGGGCAGGGAGAAGAAGAAGAAGAAGAATATATATATATATATATATATATATATATATATATATATATATATATATGGCCATATTGTTATAGTCTACCACGCTGGCCAATACGGGTTGGCGGACTTCAAGTGACTTTTGAAAACTTGCTAGACCCTCTCAGACATGGAAATTTCCTCACGATATTTCTTTCACCGTAACACAAGTGTACACACCGTAAACATGTTGAAAATGATTCACACTGAAAAATATCAGAGGTGCAATTCCAGATTCGATCATTCGATTCGACAGAATTCGATTGCTTACCATCATACCGCGGCAACTTTTTCTTAGGATATTTTTTTTATATTAAATAAAAATTGTATGTCATTATTGCATACAACTTTTTACCATTATAATACTATATAGTATTCCTGCAATCCTATATCATATCAAAAAGAAATTCGAAAGTCTAACAATCTTCCCAATTACACCACACCACGCCATCTTAATTGAAACCGTCCCCCGTGACCATGCTATACAGCATTAAAAACGAAAGCAAACCTCCAAAAAAATAACGAAAAACAAATGAGACTCATTTAAAATGTTAAATACATGTCTAAATCCAAGTAAACAACGCAAACTCACCCAACAAAACATGGCTGACGTCCAGATAGGGTTCCCAGACAGCGAACCCGCGACCCAGTAAGTCGACTGCCGCACGTCGCAAGGGAGTATGTGATGGCAGTCGGGGACTCCCCGGCGCTAGCAGGAGATGGGTTAACGCTAGCGCTGTGAGACGGGCCAGATTGTTCGACGCGCTCAGTGTGAAGCCTGTTAAAAGTAGCATAAAGTATATAAAAGTAGACTTAAGTGTCTCTTAAACAAAAATTGCTACAATACTGAGTTAAAATATTGTTCTTTCCAGATAGTGTTATCTTATACTCAATAATGTTTTGAGCTTATTTTAGTTTGTTAATTTTTATTTTTGTTTATAATTATGTCTTTCCGACTAATTTCGGTCACGGCGGTCGATCTCACTAACTCTAGCCAACTGCAGGAGACATTATAGTGCAGACACAACGTGCACTCTCTGTTCCTGTCACTATTATTCCTATTATTGATTATAGAAAATGCAAATCACATTGTACAATCTTCAAATGTTACTTTATTAGTAAGAAATATTTTTAGATGTAAAAATAACGTAAAAACTGTGTGGAACATTAAATAATATTTTTTTTATTATTAAAGAATAAAAACTCAAGTAGTACAATTTTACCTTCAACGATGGAACTTTTTCTGCTGTCGCCATCTTTGCGTCTCTTATTACCGGCCGCACCTACAAAGTTGTAAGTTTAAGATTACAAAGAAGTTCAAAATCAAGTTCAAATTTATAATCTTAAAAAACTAAGTTTAAAATTACAAAAAAAAAGAAATAGAAGTGAATTTTCCAATTGTTTTCAATTTAACCAAAAAAAATAATTCTATTAAAAATGCTCAAGAATGTCATTTTCTGTTGGAAACTTTTAAACTCCTAAAAAATAAAAAATAAAGTGTAAAAATCGATTTTGCGACACAACTGTGTTTAAAACTACTTAGATTAATTTCATTGTTTAATTTTTTTTACCAACTACATTTATTAGACTAGTACAGTATACCTTACAGTTGCAAAGAAAAACATTGTAACTCAGTTTTGAGATAGTTTCATAAGAGAAAATAATTTCTCATATATTTACATAGTTCCAATTTTAAATTTTCCACATATCTATGCTACAATATTTTTCCTCGCAACCATCGATATAAACCCAATATAGTTAAAATACTACCTTCACTAGCAATATCTTGTCCAAATTCAGCTCCGATAACACCCAAAAGTACTACAGCGGTGGTCTGCTTCCTCTTCAATTCTGCTAGAGAAGAAGGTTTACGAACTACTTCTTCTTCGTCTTCTTCAAATTCTTCTTCTTGCTAGAATAATAATCTTCCTTTTAATATTCTGTACTATTTACAAATATTTTTACGCTATTTACATTGTATAAGTAATTGAAAGTATAATACTTTCTTAAATTTACGCGAATATTTGACATTTTAAATAAAACTATCTTTTCGAATATTTTTGTCCTTTGACCTCTCTCGGTCTCACAATCTCTCCCGTGACGTTAAGCAAACAAAAATAGCCGAAAAAACCTGCCCAATTTTTAAGTATGAGATGATCTGTAATTTAGTAATATATGTATAATCTTATAATGTATGCATAGAAAATAAGCTCCAACTTTTAGATTGGTTAAATTATTGATACAAAAATATTATTAGGGTATATACTGTATTATAAGCAAAACCAAATAAAATCTAGCTAGCACTAGATTTTTATGATCTTTGATTTGTTGGATTTAACTCCGCCCCGAATAACAGAATAACTAAAAAAAAAAGAAAACGTCGATAAAATTCACAAAAAAAAAAACTACATGGTTAACGCTGGCAAATAACTATTTAGATCGTACCTACGGATGCACCCGAACGAAGCGAAGATAAGTCGATAGTAACAAATTTAAAACTAAAATTCTTCTCTAACTTTACTTACATCTCTAGCAATCTTCTCAATGGGCTCCTTCTGGACGGCGTGAGGGTTGATACTCTCCGTTTGAGTGTACAGCGGCAGGAACTGAGCCCAGTTGTCAACTAGAGACTTGCGACCTTTTGGACCCAATCTGGAAAAAAAAAACTTATTAGAAAATAAAAAAAAAACCTACACAATACTTTTTTAATCTGCATAATTAGGCTGAATTGCTTGAACCTTAGAATCTTTAAAAAAATTATACCGCAAGGAAAGATGAACTTTGTTAAATTGAATTCGAATCGCGCCAAACAAATATACCGAGTCTTGATTTTATTATTTATGTCGTCCAAATAGATCAGTGCCTTTAAAAATTAATGGGCCACCTTTAGTGGCAGTTTTTGTTGGATCGAAGTTTGTTTGCACACTGAAAGAGCTACGAGTATATAGTTTTGGACGAAATTTAATGAGTAATACTTAAGTACTGTTTAAGTTTAAAAATTGCCAAAAGATGGCGCCTTTGGTGGTTGTTGAGAGATGTGACGGGAGTCACCTACAGCGAGCGCTGTTTGACGCCTGTACCTATAATATTTTAAAAACAAATGGCATCTAGGGACGTATTAGAGAGAAACGAGGGCAGCCACTAATAAAAGTTAAAATATGAGTTTGTATAAAAAGTTTCTTGTTTAAATAATATCGATTTAAACTTACCTCCCGAGTTCAGCTAAGAGCAGCGCTTGTGCAGCATCCCTCACTTCGAGACAGTGGTGTTGCCATCTACGCGCCAACATCTCCACTTGAGGACGCTTGAAGCTTTTCGCACCTAGATATTTTTTGTAGTTTAGATGAAATAAATTATGGGTTTAGACCTTATGATGAAATTTATTAAAAAATAATGATTATTTTCAGCAAAAAAGGATAGAAGATTACGTATAAACGAAAAATGAAAGTGTAGTTTGGATAACAATTTAAATGAACTGCAAGTGCTTTTTTTATAACATCTTTGTATGATACCCAAACCAAAGCCATTTATTCTAACATCGGACTATTATCATAATTACGAGAGTTGGTATTTCCTACTTCTTCACGCCGGAACGGCTGAACAGATTTGGATGAAATTTAACACACAGAAATAAAGTACGTAAGCGAAGCAAAGCGAGATTTCATTATAGTTTCCGATAATTACCGAAACTCTTACAAAAACAAACCATTCGTTATATAATACACATACTCGTAATGCAATACTTGAGGCAGTTACATGTAACTTGAACTGTGTAATAATTTCGTATTGGCTGTCTGTTCATCAATAGGACAGAAAATGACTTATCGTAGTAATTATATTATTCTATATTGATTATTATTAATTTTAATTGTATTTTTAATTTTTTCATTGTACATAATATTTTGGCTTTGCGTTTTGCCTGCAATAAATGACTTATTATATAAGAGATATCTTTGGATTTTACAGTGTCAAAGTGGCCCGGTCGCTTGGAAGGCTTGCGTGGTTAAACAGGCCTACAGATGTTATTATTATTATTTATTATTATAACACCAAAATTCCTTACCAGCCGCTACAACTTTATCAGGCAGCAACACACAGTGCAAAGTTGCTAGCAAGGACCAGCCTTGCTTGATGTGCGCTTGCTGCGCCGCCAACTGTTCCTCTCTTTCCTCGTCTCCCGCCCACGAAGAGGTGCGGGTTGTTGGTCTGTGTATAATTATAATTATACTATTATTATAATATGAATGTTTGTTTGTGTGTATGTTTGCTAATGATTCACGCTATAACGGCTGGATGGATTTGGATAAAATTTTGTAGATAGCATATTGGCTACTGTTAGCTTAAAGAAGCACCCAAGTAATGAGAGACTACTTCGCTAGGTAAAGGTATAAATGATAAACTAATTTCGTAGCTTGTATGTTTGAAAATTGATATTTATAAGGATTAAGTGTGTTTATATTTCTTTTTTTATAAATCAAAGTTTCTGGCATTTTTAAATAGCATGTAATCATTTTTAAATAGCATTTAATTTAATCTTATGATAATACAGTTATAAATGAGAAAGTTTGTATGTGTGTATAAGTTACTGCTTTACTTCAGATAGACTACGTCTTAAAGTAACATATAGGCAACTAGAGACTCACCCGAGCGAAGCAAGGGAAAATCTCTAGTATGTAGGTATACACTTTACCTGTGTAACCTCCTCGCTACTTCCTGTTCCGGCACAAAGCTCGCGTTGCTCATCGACATCAGAGTGTTTGCGAGAGCCACGATGGACAGAAGGTGGTTGGTTGTAAGAGTGGTGCTGAGTTCCCAGTGCAGCTTGGACGAGAATAATCTATGGATAGATAGAACGTCATATAAAAAATCTAAAAGATATTGTTACTGGCAATTGTTTAGTAGCAAGAGTCAATTTTTTCAGGAATCAGTAATCAAACCCATCATTTTCATCATGATAAGTTTAACACTTACTTGGTTTACCAATATAATAAACAAGTACTCGTAACCATGGATGTAATTACGTTTCTCAGTCAAGATTTTTTTAGTAATAGAACGGAATTCGGATGCTGGTGGTGTTTATTCCTTGCCTTGGAGTGCACGTAAAAGCTTTGCGCCCGACTTTTTTCACTAGCCATTTTCACCAGGCGAGCCAATTGTCATCCCACCGGGGTTTGAGAGTGATAGGAATAGGGAGCGCAATCGTGTTTGCACACACACGGATTACATTATAATCAAACGGTGGCAAATATTGTTCAAGTGGACATCATCTTTAATGACCAATACAAATCTCACCTAGTTAATTTCTCCTGTCGGAGCAACTCAGCGGGAAGATCAGATGTTAACAGCAGTGGATCATCAGGTGCAGAAGCACAGGCCTCGGCCCAACCACCCAGCCGGGTAGGCAACTGTACTGCCATGTGACCATGGCGTGATACTACTCCGAAACATACTGGAACCTAAAAAAAATGTCCATAGTTTCAAAAAGGAACAAAAATATTGAGAAACGAAGAATTTATGTGTTTTAATTTTGTATTTTTTAATCATTATCTGGTACCACATACTTCTCTCTCTCTCTCTATATTTCATATTTCAATAGTTACTAAAAATTACTAAACACTTTTCACCACAACTGCTGTCATTGTAATTTATAATGTTGTCTGATAAATATATTTATTCATTTTCACAACAAAAACTGGTTCAAAAATAAAGCCTTTGAAGTAATATTTCATTTTATTATTAAATAAAATGATTACAAGACGTACAAAGATTAATGTCAACGCGTCTTGATTTCTCTTTGATTTAGATTTCTCTTTCAAACAATCTAATCTTGAAGTGAGAGATATTGTTTTATGTTTTCTTTTTATTATACAATATAATAAAAAAGGAGAACAAAATATCCTCTACTGTAATACCTAAAAATAAACATACCATAGGTCTAAGCAATCCCAGCTTAGACTCACAGACCCTATCTAGGTCTGGGTCTAGTCCCCATGCATGTAGCAGCGATATGAGAATTTGCGCAATTTCCATAGTGTGTGGAGGTTCAGCCAAGGACATATCCCGAGGACGTTGACGTTTTGTAGGTGTTTGGTCATCTGTAACCAACATAGATTTATTTTAACCAAGTGTCACCATAAGAGTAATAACTAAAATGATTAATTTTATAATCGATAAGCAAATGAAAATTTCAGTAAATGAACTTGGGGGGGCGTCCCCCTTCGTTAGGGGTCCGAGCCTTAGGTGGCTTATTCTTGGTACTTGTCAAAAAATTAATAGGATCATAAGGGCAACCTCTTCGTGGTCGAGGATGGGAAGGTAGATAATCTAATTAAAAAGTTGCTCTTAATCCCAGGTTGGGCAAACTGAGAGGACGCATGGTTTGGGGCTTTATCGCCCGGGAAGAGATCAGCCCCGATAGGCCTGACATCGTAATTAAAATCGTAAGTGATCTTGCGGAGACCCTTTAAAGTGCCCTTGGGATTAATGGGAAATTTTCTCTTGCAGCCCTAGAGCCTTTTAGCATCCCACGTAACACATAACCAACGTTAACCAAAAGTTAGTAATTATACCCTCATCCCCGTATCGTTTTCTATTTCTACGAAAAATAGAGTGTGGAGTAATGAGTCACTACACATTATTCTATCTACTCAAATGTAGAAAAACAATTACTTCCGGTGTCAATATACAATAAGCAATCATTTAAAACATAAATACTTCCTTATAAAAAAAACCTTAGTAAACTAATGTGTACTTCGTGCGTTTTATTTATTTAAATTGCTTAACGATATAGGTATTAATTAACATAGTTTTTGTATTTATTTTCACTGTTTGTACTTGGGTTGAGTTTACTGGATTGAGGTCCTTGGTTCGATTTCCGTAGGATGTAAGGTTATTTCATAATCTGAGGAACATAGACTGAAAAACAAGACGAGAGTGAAGTTAAGATAAGAAATAATGATTTACTGTTGAAAATAATATAAATTGTACTCATACATAAATAAAGATTCTTTAAAAATTTCAACTATTAAATGCTGGAAAAATTTAAATGAAAACTTTCGTTACACAGATAATTTATCTCTATCTAGCCGTGAAAAGTTGTTTTTCTTACGTACGTAACAGAGCTAAGAACTAAGGAAGGACTTTTGATTCCTTTAAGAGATCAAATATTGAATAAAACTTTGTATTAAGGCACGGCATTTTTTTCATCGATGGGAAATCCAATAAAGCTTATTACTTGTACAAAATAAATTCATTACAAAGTATCAGATCTCAAGACAACTACCACATGACCTTGTTAGGCATGTTCCTATTCACAGCTCCCCGTTTATATATATCTGATATCTGAAATAACTATTTATCTGAAATAACTATATCAGCAAAGTTTTACTAATGGATTTTTTTATATGTATATGAAACTTGGGCAAAAGTGATATATTAAATTTTTTTACCCCGCAGAATAGAAATACGGAGTATGAATTTTGTTTTTTTTTTGGAACGGCGTGAAGTAAACCAAGGTCGGTTGCTAGGTTATTAATTATAAGATATTGTTTTGTATATAGGGCAGTAAAAGGATAAATAAATGCTTTCTACTAAGCCTTGTTGCCGAAGTGAATGTACGGGCGCGGTCAGACCTTGAGACTCGCATAGGTACTGGTCAGGTTATAACTAGCCATCTGTTGCATAAATGATTAATACAAATTATCGTTTTGTGCGTCTGAAACTGCAGACTTTGACTCTGCTACTCAGGATAACTTGTATCAAAGATTGATGTTTGTTTTTTTATGTGTAACTTTTAATCGAACCCTAATGCTTTTTCTATACATACTCGTATAATAAAATTATAACTAAGCCGAATCTGTACATAAAATATTTTTTGGAAAATCTTATTGAAATAAACATTATTATCGATACAGAGGCCGAATCTATAGTTTTTAGATTTTTGTCTGTCTGTCTGTCTGTCTGTCTATCTATCTATCTATCTATCTGAAAAACCACTAGCGGGATTTTGATGAAATTTGGTATGGTATTGATAGATGGTTATCCGGATCAACATATAGGATACTTTTTTACGCGGGAAAATCTCTCATTTCTGAGAAAAAATACAAAAACTGCATTGTAAGAGTACACTAATATGTAAAACTTATGAATTTGGTTTTTCGTCATCTGAACGCAGGCGGAGCCGCGGGCAATGCTAGTCGAAAATAAAAGTAGCCTAAGCTACTCCTTTTAACGTCAGCTATCTGACAAAAACATTTTTTTTGTCTTTGAAATAGTAGTATAGATATTGACGATGTATCCTATGCCCAACTCAAACTGACACTTCTAAAAGTCAATATAATAAAGAATTGAATTGAAAATTAGTTATATTAAGTAAGTATAAAGGTTTATTTCCGCTTTTTAATATCTTTTTATCGGTCATATGCAGTGTAGTAACAGAGATTTTGCCCGCTTCCAAAAAAAGGAGGCATCCCCTTATAGATTTTTGTGCATGTTATGCGATACTACTTAAATTAATATAAATACGATATCTTTAAAACTTTATATATATATATATATATATATATATATATATATTTAATACTCATATACTGAATAATTATAATTTGTCATTAAGAATTGATGTAATTTTAGATATAATGTAATTTGCTTGTAAAAATCTCTTTATTTGCATGCGGTATTCACCTGAAGAGGCAATGCAATTAGCTATAAGAGTTGTTTATCTATACATATGAATAAAATTTTGAGTGGAATCTGTACATTAAATATTTTCTGGAAAATCTTATTGAAGTAGTCATTATTATCGATGCAGAGGCCGAATCTAGACTTTTTAGAATTTTTGTCAGTCTGTCTAAGAACGTATCATGAGAAAAATACTGGATGGATTTTATTAAAATTTGGTATGACGATGGCTGGTTATCCGAGTCAACATATAGGATAATTTTTACTGCAGGAAAATATATCATCTCTGAAAAATCTATACTAACTGTTAAAACGTACTTAGGGACGAATCCAAGCGAAGCTAAGTCGCTAGTTATATTATAAGAAAAACAAAAAAATGATCTAAGTAAAATGAAAGTCAGGTATAAGAATTATGTAGTTTAAATATACCTCAGTGTTGCAGTAATGACGTTGGATTAACGATTGCCACACACAATGTATTATTAGGATAACAAGCGTTTATGCTATTTAATGATATATTAGGAGAGGCCGTTCGGTTTTAGTGTTCAGCTAAAATATTAGGCAAAGCTTTTAGAGTTGCAATCAAAAATACACAATCTAGTCTACAGTTACTAAATAAATCGCAAAATGGAACGTAAGAATTAACGTATATACAGAGTGAAACAAAATAAACGGGACTCAGAAGAAAGGTACCTTAAATATTAAAGATATCAAGTTTCACCCTCAGGAAGCTTTCTTTTATTCTTAAAAGCATTCGTAAATTTAAGATTTTTTAATAAAGCTTAGCCTAAACCGGTAATCCAATCGACTTACAAATGCAATAATAAAGATATATATGTATGCAGCCCTTTTTGAAGTCCCACTGTTGGGCACAGGCCTCTCTTAAAATATGAGAAGGATCAGGCCATAGTCCACCACGCTGGCCAAGTGCAGGTTGGCGGACTTCACATGACTTTCTAGATGTTGTTACATTCTCTCAGACATGCATTGTCCTCTTGAAGTTTTTCTTCATCTTAAGACAAATGGTAATCATGTTGGAAATGATTCCCACATGAGAATATTAGAGATGTGAGACAGGTATAAGAATCCGCTTCACTCGGTTTCCCAAACGAGCGCGTTACCACTGGGCTACCATTGCCTTAGATAGATACAATACGAGTATTATATGTATCTATCTATTTATCCCAGTAATATTGTAAATGAGTCATAGATTAAAACTATTTTTAACACATTTTCTACAATCTACTTCTAATTTAATCGTATCGTTTTAAAACTTTCTATGTGCATTTCTGGATGACAATTTTGAATTTGATGTTATAGTGGTGATTTGTTCTAGCGAAGAGGTGGATAGGAGAACTCTTCAGTGTTTCCTTAAAAAATTTCGAGTTTGGGCACATTTGATATGGCAAAAGGGTTTTTTTTAATTCTGTTATTCCTATATTGACTTAAATCGGATATAGATAAGCTAGTTATGATCCCGGAAAATAAGTATTTTTTGGGACATTATGTTAAACTTTAATATATGAGATTTAGTTGAGTTGCTAACTCTCTTCATTGAATTCTAAACATAGAACATTTATTTACAAGATGTCAGTACAAAAGAAAAACATTTTTTTAAAACCTCTAACAATTTAAGGCCAAATTGAGACCCAGTATGTCGTTTATATTGCCTTTGACCTATAAACATGATATTTTGCTTTATAAAAACAATAATAATCAAGGCTTATGTTATTTATTGTACTGTAAATGATTGGTAAGACATATAGGGTTTTATAGACATTTGTATATTTAGGGTTTTTTCACACTTTGTTTAGCCTGCATCTTTATATTCTAATTCATAGTGGTTTAGTCCTAAAGAGAAAGACAACAGACTGGGTGTCAGGCTACTATCTATACAAATAAATAAAATTGAAGTGTCTGTTTGTAATTTCAAAATAACAGCTTTTTACTAAATGCATAATATGAAACTATATACGGTACTTTTAAGAAAAACACTATTTAAAAAAAATCAGTCTGTCTGTATGTATCTTGTTTGTTCCGGCTAATATACGAAACGGCTAGACAGATTTTGACGGGACTTTCACTGGCAGATAGCTGAAGTTATAAGAAATAACTTATGCTACTTTTATTTTAGAAAAAGATTTAGGGTTCTGATCACAAAAATTAAAACATACCTAGAAACGCGCCCGAGCGAAGCAAAGGTAAGTCGCTAGTTATACATATGTAAAGTTTGTATGTGTGTATATTTTTATCACACTTTTAACGTTTTTCTGTTACCACGTTTCGTATCTCTCTCGTTATCACGTTTGCTGTAAAGCATTCGAAATGTCGGGAGCCAAAAAGCAAAAGCTAAAGCGTATCAAAATCTCAATTATTAGCGTAAATCAATGGAAATTAGGTGAAAAAAGTCATATTTTCGACTTGTTTTT